AGATGCTGGAACAGTGCTGGTAATGATCATGGTATCAGCAAGAGGAGCAGAATGAGTGGTGAGAAGCAGTCCAACTCCAGGAGTTGCTTGTTGAAGATACAACCAGCTTTATTTCCTTGTATGAAATTGACAGCAATATCTGACAAAGCAAGTCAAAAAAAGAGAAAACAATAGATTGTTTTAGTCATGAGTGCTACTTGGCAGCACTTAATGAAATAAGAATAGATGAACATGAGCTGGGTACCAGTGGCTCAGGCCTGTAATCCTAAATACTCAGCAGGCTGAGATATGAGCATGGTTCGAAACCAGAGTGGGCAAGAAAGTTGTGAGACTCTTATTAATTAACCAGCAAAAAGCCAGAAGTTGGGGATATAGCTTAAGGAGCAAAGTGTTAGCTTTAAGCACAAAAGTTCAAGAACAGTGCTTAGGCCTTGAGCTCAAGCCCCAGGACTGGGGGAAAAAAGGAATAGGTGGACGTGTTGCCAACATGAAAATGTATACCTAATTCAAAGCATTCCTGTCAAATTCTAGAACTAACAGAAGTGTCCTTTGTCAGTCATATTCTTCTAGCGGGACCAATGCATAAAAGTAGACTAGAGAAGAGATTTATGCAGCTGTTGGAAAGAGGACTGTAAAATGATCATTGTTGCAGATAAAATCATTGTTAACCCTGGAACATCCAAGAAAATAAAATGAAGATCTATGATTGAATATGTGAGAACCAAAGGTGGGCTTAGTAGTAGAAATCAATAGTTTTGATATGTGCAGTCAGTAGCCAGTTAGGAGATGAGTCATGGGAAAAGAAGTATTGATAGCAGTAACACAAAGAGAAATAAATTTTAGGAAGGATTTAAAAAAGAGTAAATTGAAGAAGATATAGAAGCTCAGGCCTGTAATTCTTGTTAGAGGGGAGGCAGAGATCAGTGGACCACTCACTGCTCAGGGTCCCAGCATAAACATTTTTAAGACTCCATCTCAACCAGTGGCATGAGCCTGTTATCCCGAACACAGGGGCAGCACAATGGCTCAACAAGGTGATATGCTCTTTTCATCCTCGACAACATAGGAAGTAACAGGAAGAGGATCAAAGTTCAGGTTAGCCAGGGCATTGAGCAAGAATCTACTTTGAAAACAGGCAATGCAAAAAGGAACAGGAGCCAGGTGTCAGTGGCTCATGCCTAGCTACTCAGGAGGGTGAGATCTAAGGATCAAGGTTTGAAAGGCAGCCCAGACAGGAAAGTCTGTGAGATGCTTATCTATTAAAATGTCAGAAATGGATCTCTGGCTCAAGTGGTAGAGTGCTCTAACCTTGAGCAAAAAAACTCGGGCCATGCCCAGGCACTAAGTACAAGCTCCAGAATGTTCTCTCCCTCCCTCTCTCCCTCCCTCCTTCCCTCCCTCCCTCTCTCTCTCTTTCTCCCCCTCCCTCTCTCCCTCTCCCTCTCCCTCCCCCCTCTCATACACACACACACACACACACACACACACACACACACTCACATACATACATATAAAAAGAACTGTAAATGTTGCTTAGGTGGTAGAGTGCCAGCTTAACATCCACAGGTCCCTGAGTTTAATATCTAATAAAACAAAAAGGAAATAAAAGAACTAAGAAACGGAGACCATTCATACGACAAAGTGAGTTGTTTCATAGCCCAAAGCACTTTTATAATTAATAGAACAAAGATCATACCAGGGAAAAATAACAAATATGAAGTAGCAGTTTAAGGAAAAAGTAGAAGTAGCTCTTGAATATCTGAAGATTTTTAACTTTTCTGATAGACTACTAAAACTCCCAAGAATTCACACTCTTTGAGCCATTGAATATATTTGTGTTCATTTTGTCTACTTCTCATCAAATGGACAACATCTATCACAGCAATAAATGATGGGAGATTGGAAACAAGCTAACTATTCACCTCCCAGAGAGCTGGTTAATTAAATTAAAAGAGGTTGGTCCTTACTTCTTAAACTACAGTGAAACAGTAATCCTATAGTGGCATGAAATCATCTGTCAAATAAATATGGTGTAAAAGAAGGCAGGTATAGAATAGCATAGGACTATTCCTATGTGAAGAGAAACAGGCAGATACATGTAGGTATATATACAGAATATCCATGGAAGGATTGTCAAAGTGTTACTAGTGGATGTCTTCTAAGACATCCACTAATTTGGTATTCAAGAATATTTGGGTTAAGGAGATTTCAAATTCTGAACCATGTATTTGTTTTGAACAGCATAAAAATCAATGAAAGCCTATGTTTCTTAAAACAAAACAAAACAAACCACCACCACCAAAAACAACAAAAACAAAAAACAGTGCTTCCTCTAAGGTAAACTGGTGAAGGAGCTCATATAGATTTGACTTCAGACACAGCCCAGATGGCTGAGAGAAGATGTACAAGACACTATGTTAAAAAACGAACTTTATAATTTAGTTGGGGGTGATAGGGGGGTGAGGATGGGGGTGGGGTATAGTTGTGGAGGTGGGAGGGAAGGGATGGAAGGGGAAAAACAAAGGAGGAGGCAACAATGCTTGATAGGAAATGTACTAATTACCTTGCTCATGTACTCATGTAACTGTCACACCTCTGTACAGTATTTTTACAATAAAAAACATATATTAAAAAAAAAGATCCTCTGGATCTGGGTACCATTGCTCTTGACCCAGCTTTGATATTGGCTGTGATATTTTTACAGCGCTATGTTTGGGCAAGATACTACTTCCATAGCCCTATTCTCCAACCATAAATACTTCAATCCTCATCCCTTTCACAGCATTCCACTGCCTAAGGCTCTCCATTGCCTCTAGGGCTTTGGCCATCCTCTGACCTGACACCATTCCCTGTTCTCCTCAACTCTTGCCACCATTTTTTGTTCTGCAGTCTAGAATGATGATCCACCATTAACAAAGCATTTTCAACCACTTCTCCCAGCTACCTCCTGCATTCTTGCTCCAATAGTGACCCAGTTCTCCTGAGAACCTACAGCGCCCTCTGCAGTCCTCTCAAGTGGAAACATGTTTTTCCCCCTTGCCAAGCATTCCTACCCCCTGCCCTGGAGATGCTGAGGGTGTTTTGAAGTCTTTCTTCCATTGCACTGTTTTCTCTTTTGTCCCTTAAAAACCCTCAGTCCATCAGACACCTCCAACTAAAAAATATATGATTGTGTATTGACTACGGTGTCATTCTTTTCTACTTGAAGATGGAAACTCCTGTCTCATGTCATTCTAGTTCTGCTCTTGTTATAAAACCGTGAGACACATCTTAACAGTGTGACCCTTCTTATGGGATTCAGCAGGAATGCTCAGTGTTTCTTGAACACTTATGTGGAAGAGGAGAGAAGATGAGTCGAGATGGGGACAAACGGGGCACTGAGTGTCCTTGGAGGGGTTCGCACTGGCTCTGCAGCAGCAGTGAGCTGTGGAAGCTTTGGAAACGTGAGGCTCTGATTGGAGCTGGGGTGCTGGAGCAGGCAGCCCAAAGGAGCAGAGTCAAGACATCGGTGCAATGATCCCAGAACCAGAGGATGACAGCAAGATGGGAGCCCTGGAAGCAAGTAGTTGCCATCATGTGAATCTAGATGCTCATGCAAATACAAGAACTAGGAAGATGGAGGCAGTGGGCATGGTTTGAGGTTTCTAGACTAAGTGACTGACAAACATTTCTTATTACAGTAGAGACTGGTCAGTTTCTAGGGATGTGCAAATTCAGCATGGCTCTATCTGTTCCCCATCCCTGAATTCTAAGCAATGCACTAATAAAAGGTATTTATTGTCTGTCTCTGGTGGCTCACGCTGCCTATATTCCTAGCTACTCAGGAGACCGAGATCTGAGGACTGCAGTTCAAAGCCAGTCCAAACAGGAAAGTTTATGAGACTCTATCTTCAGTTGACCAACAAAAAGCCGGAAGTGGAATTGTGGCTCAAATGGGAGAAGACTAGCCTTGAATGAAAAAAAAAAAACCCAACAACTAAGGGACAGCACCCAGGCTGGCCCTGAGTTCAAGCTTCAATACTGGCACCATTTTTTTAAAGAAATTTATTACATCAAATATAATGAAAATGAAATATTGTCTCTATTTGAGAAAGAAAATACTGACTTCAGTGTGATGGACACTTCATTTATCTTTCGTAATGGTTTTATTAAGAACAGATGTTAATAACTGCTTTTGTAACCTTGAAATGTGGTCTTCTGGGAGCAGCTTACCATAAAAGAAACGGTTGTCAGCTTTCTTTTGGCTCTGGCCCTTCCTAACAACAGAAAATTTGCTTTGCACCTGCTCCAACTGCGTTCTCAGTGATAAGCATCCTGCAAGCCCAGAAAATTGTAGTATCAAATCTCAGCGCCAACTGGGAGGTAACGCTGTCATTGGCTCCCTGCAGAGAGGCCTTGCTTTCCCAGGTCCCTAGAGGAGAGTTCTTTCTCCCCTCTGGCCCCCTTTTCTAGCTTGAACTCTGACCTAAACCCTCTTTTTAGTACCAGCATGTATTGCTCTGGGTGCTGGCAAAGACCCACCCCGCTTGCCGGTGCTGCCCTGGGAACAGCAGCAGGTCAGGCCGTTGAAGCCCTGGGGTCAGCGGAGGACCCAGTTCCAGTAATGAGCATTTTCATCTCCCGAGAAGCAATGTGCCTTTCTATTTGTTACAGCTCATCACTTTCTCCAGGAACACAGGAGAAAGTAACATTTGATAGATCATCTGTGAGTTAGTCAATATTACGTAAGTGTCACCTGATAATTATGAAGTTGCTTCATGTCTATCTTTCATCCTGAGTGAAATGCTTTGTTTTTACTTATTTATTTTATTTTTATAGCTCATGTTTTTTTCCAAGACACACAAATCTATTTCTTAGACAGAACAGTATGTTTTGTTAGGTTCTTGTATGAATTTTGAATAGAAATAGCAAATAGGATTTTTTGAAAGATTCCTGTGTCATTTTAAGGTGAAAAATGACAAGTCAACAAGGCATTCTAATTTTACTTATTTTCTTCTTAGGTTTTCCAAACAGGCCCAAGTCACTGAAAATATTCCTCAACCCCCAGAGTCACAAAAAAGAAGCTGTCCACATCTATCATGAGAAGGTTGAACCTCTGCTGAAGCTCGCAGGAGTGAGCACGGATGTAACCAGTAAGTTAGCTTCGTAGAGAATTTACCATTTGAAAAACATAAGAAAGGAAGTAAGGTAACCTGAATTTGTTCCTACTTTCAACTGTCCAAGTTACCTGCAATAACTAAAAGTTTTTTCTATGTTTTTTTAACCTACTACAGCCAGCTCCAGCGTTCCCATTTATTTTGTTTTCTTTTATTGTTCTGCTTTTATTGAAATGTCAATATTTTCTCTTTAAATCTTTTCCAGATGTTAACAGTTACAAGGTATGAAATAAAATGACACTGTACTGTTGGATATCTTCAGGGAAGTATGTGTATTTTACACATTTCTGCTATAGCTCCAGCAAGTAACACTCCCACCCCCACCCCAAAGTTAATGTCTTTCCATGGAATCCTTCTTTGGGTTTTTTGTTCTGACTCTGACCCCTGCTGGCTAGGTCAAAGCTAAGCATTTAACTGCTGATTTTTAACTTTGTGCTAAAGCAAATAGAAATTCTCTAATGTTAAATTAATAGAAAGAAGATTAGCATTAATCTTTTTAGGCTTATAAATTTGGTGACCAGATTCTTGTTTAACTTGAGATTTATTTTTCTTAGGTCTGGACACTCACTGAAAAGGTTGATATTAATTTTATTTCTATTGTGCTCTGATACAATGGGAAGGTGCAATCCATCCTAATTGATGAAGAATATTGTATAATAAGTTTACTCAGGAGACAAATTTAAATACAGCTGGAATTTCCTGAATCCAGTTCTAAGCTTCTGGGTAGGATTTGAATGACCTGGATTGGCTCAACTAAAACCTACAAAGAGGAGTTTCTACAATGTAAATAAATTCATTGCAGAACAGTCTTTGAAGTTCTGGGGTAAAAGGAAATTCCTAAGAAAGGGGAAGTTTTGTGGGATAGACAGCCACTCCAAAAGACACCTGCTACAGTATAGGTTAAAGAGAAACTACCATAAAAATCAAAAGGAGCTGAGTATGATAGTTCATGCCTGTAATACCAGTATTTGGGAGATCGAGGAAGGAAGATGGAAAGTTTGAGACCAGTCTGCCTTTTATAGAGAGAACACAAGAACAGTTTCTTAATTGTAATATGGTTGTGAGGGAAAAGCCTCCATTTGTTTTCTTGTTGACTTGCTTATGTGTGATTCATAAAGGAGAGAGAAATTGTACTGTTACTGACAACTTTCAAATGGCTGAAGGCAAGATTTGAGATCCATATTGGGATGTGATACCTATTTGCAAGCTCATAATTTTTTCATATGTGAATACCACAAAGCAGTTTATATTACAATATATCATTTAGTTCAACAATCCAGGCATGGTGTACACATCTATAGTCCTAGCTATTCTGGAAGCTGGGGCAGGAGGATCCTTTGGAGCCCAGGAGTTTGAAGCCAGACTGGGCAATATAGCAAAACCCTAGATCAAACACACAAACAGTATCTTGATAAACGCTGGGTTAAACACTGTCAAATGCAAGGTGACTAATCTATTGTACCCATCCTTGGGTTATTAGGATTCAAATACTAAATACTGAAATTGTGGTACAGATAATCTTAGTGTCTCAGGGTAGTGTTAACTTTGATGGGAAGAGTATGTGAGCTGGAGACATTTTAGGAGGTGAGGAAGGAAAGGTAGGCTAGCAGGCACATATAAGGGAAGTGTGTGTTTCATAGCTTGCTATTGCTTCCCACTTTTGACTTTATCTTAAATAGGGTCTTCCCATCCTCATAAAATACATGTCAATGAGCAGAGCACTTTTTATTCATAACTACAGGTATGTTTGTTGCGTGTGACAGAAAGAGAAAGGAGAGAGAGAGAGAGAGAGACAGATAGACAGACAAAGATTCAATGTTCTTGAATCTGAAAGAAGCATAAAAAGATGCACTAATGTGATTTGATATTTAGTGTATAAAGTGTGTATAGCACCTGCACCCTATATGAGGCAATGATTATCTTAACAACCTGGACACTTTCTGGGAACTGAGGGTAGACTCCCTTCTGAAGACTGAAGATGCCTGAACTCCCTCTGGATTCTGTGAGGTGGGAAAAGGGCAAAGTGTCTTCTAGGAAGAGTCTTCCAAATGTAACCCATAGGAAGCCTGTGTGGAAACTAAAGGTGAAAGTTGGTGCTACACTCAGCACTGGATCTATCATGTACTGAGTCACAGTTTGTAGATAGTTTTTTTAAAAATCACAGTATTGCAGTGTGGTTAGCAAAGATGACTCCACCAATAGAATTAAGATGAGAAAGGAAGAGAGAGAAATGGGAAGAAGGGAGATCAGTGCAGGAGTCTCAAGCCAAGGTCACAGAAAAGAATGATGACAGGAAAGTGCTCTGCTCCATGCAACAATTATATTGGAGAGCAAAGTATGTACTAGTCTGATGTATAAGTATGATTTAATATTGTATTTGAACATAAAATAAAAACTTTTCTTTAACACAAAGTATTAGTTTATTACATAAGGCAAATACAAAACTCACGTCTCTATTTGTACAGAATGACTAATTATTACCTGCCTAACACTCCTCCTACAGGCAACATGGTTAAATTACATCCCATTGCTTATACAATGATTGCACTCTATCTACTGGCTAAATATTTATTTTAAATGATCCCTATTTTGTGTCAGAGACTGAATAAACATGTGAATTCTTGAGGAGTTTTAGTCTTCCTTCTCACCTTACCACGATGTTTTGTGACATTACTTTGTGTATCCGAGAGTGTTATATAAATGTAGCCATAAGTTTATTGGAGTCATATTAATAAAATTGTCCAATAATAAAAATTCAATTCATACTTTATTTGAACGAAAAATATACAAAATCATGCAAAATGTGTTTCATACACATCTTTGATTTAACATGCAATTTCTATATTGATGAGTCCAAGTGGAATGCAAGTTTTACAAATTCTATATAATAACTAACTCATTAGAAAACAATTCTGTATACATGCAAGACAGAGTTGAAAATTTACACCTGGATGTGTATATTATAGTCTTTTCCATTGACTTTTTGTTGTTGCTGTTTTGGCAGCATTAGGGTTTGAACTTTGGACCTACAATTGGCTGGGCAATTTAATTGGCATTTTATTTCTTGAGTGATATCCCCAATCTGTTTTGCATTCAGTTATTTTACAGATAAAGTTCTGTGTTTTTGCCTTGGACTGCAGTTCTCCAATCTATGTCATGCAAGTAGCTGAATTTGGATATTCACTACCATGTGTGATTTTTTTTTTTGTTGCTGAAATGTAGTCGTGCTTACATTTTTTGCCAGGGCTGCCTCGGACCTTAATTAATCATCCTGATCACTGCTTCTTGAGTAACTGGGATTACAGGCATAAGTTCCCATAAACAACTCATAAATTTCTTTTTGACCAAATCTCATTACATTAATAAAACTTTCATTTTGGCTTGTACTGATTCCTTCCGAATATAGATCATTCTCTTGAAATATTTGAGCTAATTATTTTTGCATCCCTTCCAACATCACCAATGTAGCATTTTTTTTATTGTGAAAATACTGTACAGAAGGGTTACAATTACATGGGCAAGATAATGAGTACATTTCTTATCAAGCATTGTAGCCTCCTCCTTTGTTCCCCCTTCCCATCCTTTCCCAGCCTCCCCCCGCCCCCACCCAATCCTCCTCCCCCCCCCACCAAAGTTGTAAAGTTTGTTTTTCCACATATCGACTTGTACATCTCATTGTTGCAATGGATCCACCTGTATCCTTATTAAACAATTTGTTTTTTCCCTTCCCCTCCACAAATTATACTGACATCAAATACAGTGAAAGCAGGGGTTATACCATGGGGAAGGGACATACAAAGCAACAAAGAAATAATCTTATAAATGTGTTAGAAACAATCACCTGAAAGAAAAAAACATTTGAATACATATCTTAGGGTTCATTTCCCTAACATCAACTTATCTGACCTTTCTGCTTGACTCAGACATATATTAGTTATTGCAAATAAGGGAAACTGTGGGACCTAAGTTTCTTTGGGCCTGGCATATTTCACTTAATATAATTTTTTCCAAGTCTTTCCATTTCCTAACAAATGGGGCAATGTCATTCTTTCTGATGGAGGCATAGAATTCCATTGTGTATATATACCACATTTTCTTGATCTATTCATCTACTGAGGGGCATCAGGGTTGGTTCCATATCTTAGCTATGGTAAATAATGCTGCAATAAACATAGTCGTGCTGGTAGCTTTAGTGTGGCCTTGTTTGTGATCATTTGTGTAAATGCCCAAAAGTGAGATTGCTGGGTCATAGGGGAGCTCTTTGTGGAGTCTTTTGAGCAACCGCCATACTACTTTCCAAAGTGGTGGAACAAGTTTACACTCCCACCAACAATGTAGTAAGGTTCCCTTCTGTTCACATCCCCTCCAGCATCTGTTGTTATTAGAGTTCTTGACTATAGCCATTCTAACTGGGGTGAGGTGGTATCTCAATGTTGTTTTGATTTGCATTTCTTTTATGGCTAGGGAGGTTGAGCATTTCTCTATGTGTCTATTGGCCATCTTTCTTTCCTCTTCAGAGAAGTTTCTCTTTAAGTCTTTAGCACACTTATTTCAATGTAGCATTTTGTTCAACACTAGTATCAGAAAACCTTCTGGAAAAAAACTGGAAGAAAATGAATTATGTTTTTCTAGTAACCTCTTGGTACAAGGATCAATAAAGACATGGATGATGATAAGCCTGTGATGGCAAGAAATATAGTTTATTTCTCTTGTTCCTTAATAAAGGAGATTTTACAGACTGTATTATTACAGTGTAACAGATGTTTTTAGAAGTCCTGGATTTACTGGATAATTAATAGAACAACAAATGAAGACGCCAAGGCTGCAAGGAATTCAGAGGGCAAAGAATTTCAGAGTCCATGTAGTTTACCTTCCTCATCTAGTGCAGTGCAGGTGTTCATGGAGTACAGATGTGCAGAGAGGAGTACTGGTGTAAATGTAGGTATGTAAGTATACATGAAGGACCAGTGTGTCCAGAATGCAGGGTGTATGGAGTTCAGGTATGTGTGGAGGAGAACAGGAGTGCATAGAGTGCAGATGTGCATAGGTATGGTGTATGCAGAGGGCAGGTGTGTTTGGTTTACAGGTGGATACAGAGGCAGGTATGTATAAAATGTGGTGCATTTGGAGATATGCAGCTGTACATGAAGTATAGGTTGTGTGTAATCAGATGTATATTCATAGAGTACAGGTATATGTCACTTCCTGTGGGTGACAACCTCACCTTGGCTTTGCCCTCTATATTGGAAGCAGGAAGATGATGATCTTTAATGTTCTCAGTATATGTGTTGCCGAAGCGAACACATCTTTAATGTTCTTGAGATCAGGTTTAGTTTGTCTGTGTGCACATTAGGAAAGATTTTGTCATCTATATTGACAATCAAGATGTTATTGCTTTTAGGTTGATTTAGCCCAGGGTCACCTATATCTACCAAGATCAGGAGCCTTGGCTGCACTGCAAATCCTCTTGGCTTAACATGGTTGTGCTATGCATAAAATGCACAAGGGGAATACTTGAGAGCTGATATCTATCTCCCTACAATTGTTATCTGCTAGCTAGTGTTACCTTCACAGCAACACAAAATGTACCTACCTAGTATCTATTGTAGAAGAATTCTCAAATCATCTGAAGACAGATATCCTCTCTGCTCTTAATCTCTCCTGTTCATGACAGGCACTTTCATTTTCTTTCATTCTGTATTAACAAGGGAGCTAGACCTTATCACAAGTCATTATCACTATTATGGTCAAAGGCTTCTCTGAATGCAACCCCATTATTACTGTCAGAGCTGTGGGATTTCCTAATGACTAGATAGTTTTACCTGGTGTGTCGAGGCAAGGCAGAATTGTTAGAAAGTCAGAGAATTTGGGTCACTTTTCTTTCTTTTAGGATCACACTTCCCATTTTTTCCCTTTACCAGATCCTGTGTGTGTGTGTGTGTGTGTGTGTGTGTGTGTGTGTTGGCTTTTGATGCTCTAGTTGAAGCTTTTCCTTTCCATTCCTCAGACATGTCACTTGTCATTCCTGATCTTGCCTGGCAGAAGTCTAGGCAATCTGATGAAATCCAGTCACAAGCTAAGATGAAAGAAAAAGAATGTGTTACAAAAGGTGCTCGTAGCCTGAAGCATTACTCTTTTCACTTTTACCAACTTTGTAATTAAGATCTTCATGGTAAGGGCTGGAGGGAGGGAGAGAAAAAGAAGAGAGTGAGAGAGAGAGAGGGAGAGAGAGAAAATGGTTCTGGGAGAAGAGTTGTTTTCATTATCTTGTAACTGGTGATAAGTACCTATGGGCCATCTGTTTCCAGCATTCACATGTGATTTAGGGAGGTGGAAACATTCTTGGAAACAAGAAAAAACATCAGTGTGTTGTATGCATGAAAGTTATGTGATCAAATGTGTTTGGAAAAAGTCATTCTGACTACAGTGGAACAGGAATTGAAGGATCTTTTCTCATTTTGTAAACTGTCTTTTAGTGTAGTAACTACATCTTCCTCTACACAGAAGTTTTTGTTGTTGTTGTTGTTATTGTTTTTACTTGTAGGACTTGAACTAAGGACCTGCGCAATGTCCTTGAGCCTCTTTGTGCTCAAGGCTAGCTCTCTACCACTTGAGCTACAGTGCCACTTTTGGTTTTTGAGTAGTTAATTGGAGTTAAGAGTCTCATGGAGACTTTTCTGCCCAGGCTGGCTTTGAACCATGATCCTCAGATCTCAGCCTCCTGAGTAGCTAGGATTACAGGTGTGAGCCAGGGGCGCCTGGCTGTACAGAAGCTTTTTAGTTCAATACAATCCCACCTTTCATATTTGCTGAGCCCCTGGAATTATAAGCAGAAAGTTCCTGCCTATGCCAGCATGTTCTAACGTTTCTCATACTTCTTCCTATAGTCTTTCATGGTTTCTGATCTTACATTGAAGTCTTTGATCCATTTTTCAATTGATAATAACTAGTACAATGTGATCCAGTTTCAGCTTTCTGCATACAGATGTCCACTATTCCCTCTGTTTGTGAAGAGTTGTCTTTTTTTTGAACCTATATTTTTGGCTCCTTTGTTCAAAAACCAGATGGGTATAAGTACATGGGTTTATTTCTGGGCCTTCCAACTTGTTACATTGGTATTTAGTTCTGTTTTTCATGCCAGTACTAAGCTGTTTTTGTTACTACAGCCCTGTAGTGAACTGGAAAGTCTAAAGTTCTGATACCTTTGGCTAATCACTTTTATCCTTTTGTTCCAGACCAGTAAATTGTATTCAACATGCCCAGTATCCATTAAAATTGCTGCTTTGGGGTGGGTTGCACTAGTATATAGTCAAATACCACTTCAGACCAAAGAAAAATTATTTTAATTTTATTTAAAGTATCAATAACAATTATATAAATTTGGAGCTAATTGTGTACTGCATTTAAAGAGCTTTACCAAGTAAACTTTGGTATATAAACATGGCTTTATAAACTGATTCTCAACATAAATATTTTTTCCTTTTTTTTAGTGTGAAAATACTGTATAGGGGATTACAATTACATGGGCAAGATAATGAGTACATTTCTTTTTTTTAATTTTTTTAAATTTTATTTTATTTTATTTGTGAAGATACTGTACAGAGGGTTTACAATTACATGGGCAGGATAATGCGTACATTTCTTACCAAGCATTGCAGCCTCCTCCTTTGTTTACCCTTCCCATCCCTTCCCAGCCTCCCCCTCCTCCCAATCCCACTCTTTCTCCTTCCCCCCCTTCCATGAGTGCATTTCTTATCAAGCATTGTAGCCTCCTCCTTTGTTTCCCCTTCCCGTCCCTTCCCATCCTTCCCCTCCCCGCTCCCCCCCACCAGAGTTGTAAAGTTCATTTTTCCACATGACGACTTGTACATCTCATTGTTGCAATCAACATAAATATTTCTATACTTATCTTTAATTATATGTGTGTGTGTGTGTGTGTGTGTTTAAGCCTTTTTTTTAAGGTTGCACTTGCTTATGGTAATAAATGAATGATCAATCCAGTTTTCTTTTATGAGAACTTATCCTTCTAACTTTATTACCATTAATATTTTACATTTAGTTTTGTTAGATCTTTCTGATTAGAATTTAAAATGGAAGGGCTGGTTTCATGGGAATGCTAACAACATTTTGAATAACCTGTAGGAGAATTACAGTGTAACACTGCTAGAACAGCATGACTGTTTTAGATACCAAGACTAATAATTTTTAACACTATCCAGAAATGTGGTAGGGAAAGCTTGGACCATGCTGGCACCAGGCACAGACAGGCATGAAAGATTAATGTAATCTTGCATATAATGATGCACATTCTTACACAAAAAATCCATCTGCAGTGTCATGTCAGTCAGCAGAAATCCTTGATGGGTGGATACAGCTGGGCTGTCTCTTCTGGCAGAGCTGCCCCAGAAAATGCTAAATGTGCTTGTGATGGTTGGTGCCATCTGCAGTGTGCCCGTTTATCCTGCCTTCACTGGCATTTTCAGCACTGCATCGGGCATCGGTGATGGTGGAGCCAGCAATACGGTGTGACAGATTCATTTCCTCTGAGGATCCAGGCTCTGTTGGGCTGGTAGTCTACCCTCCCCATGGGTTTGGGTCTCTTCTCATTAGGGTTGGCTTTACTTTGTATTTTCACATCCAACACATTCTTTTTGAGTCTAGCAGTTCCAGATATACATTCTTCTGGTATGTAAATCGTACACTAACCTTTCCACTAATTTATTCATGTAAGGTTGCCAAGGCGATTTAACATTGACTGTTCGATGCCAGCGAACATGCTGTATTTTCAAAATACTCCAGCTCCTATGCTTCTGATTTAAAGGGAATTAATCTTATTTAGGGAACACTAAACAGACAGGAACCAAGATGAATTTTCTAAGCACGATGTGTTGGATATCCCCAAATGACTTATGGAGTTGGAACCAATGTATGCCCTCTTTTACATAAAACTATAAAACCTAATGCTTAATCCTCTTTGCTATGATTAAAATATAAATACTCAGTAGTAAATATTGTTTTATGATGTAACTGTTTGGTAATCACATTATCTTGCCAAACCAAGTTGCCAAGTATTGATCAGTATTTAAAAATTTCATCTTTGTGTTTTTATTTTTTGATAGTCACAGAATATGAAGGGCATGCTGTTTCGCTGCTTAAGGAATGTGAACTCCAGGGATTTGATGGGTAGGTTATATTATTCATCTGTATCATATAGTGTATACCATTAAATGTTTTGTAGCTTTTGTCATGTATTTAGGAACTATGATTTTTAAATACTTGTGATGTATGTAATCAGGTTTGGCTTTGTGCACATCTATATAATAACAACAAATATGATCTGGCATGATCATCCACCTTTCAGAATGTGGCATAGAAAAGCAAAAAGAGAAACCAGAAGTAGAGCTGTGACTTAACCACTAGAGCACTTGAGTGAAAAAGCTCAGATCTAGAGTTCAAGTCCTAGGACTGGAACAACAACAGCAGCAGCAACAACAACAACAACAACTAAAACAAAAGGAAGAAATGTAGAGCAGAGAAGCAGGATTAGAAGTGCAGGTCATGGTTGAGTGGATACTAAGATTGTTTATATTAATCTTGCTTTTGCAAAGTGCTTTCCCTCCTTGAACTACAACCAGAGCATTTTCAATCAGTCCCTGGAGAGAGGAATGTGAAGAGACCAGTCCTGCCCTGCTCCCAAAGGAAGTGGTAGCAAGCCCTTGGGGCCTGTCTCCAAAGGCAAGATTCCCCCTTTACAGCATGAGGTTCACTCTTTGAGGATCCTGCTGTCCCAGCAGGCCAAGGGAATCAGGCATGAAGTCATCAATATCAACCTGATAAATATGCCTGAGTGGTTTTTTACAAAGAGTCCTCTTGGTCTGGTGCCAGTTCTGGAAACCAGTCAGGGTCACTTTATCTATGAGTCTGCCATCATTTGTGAGTACATACCCTGGGAAGAAGACTCCAATGAGAAAGTATGCCAATAGATGATGTTTGAGTTATTCTCTAAGGTGGCCATCTTTGATATTAACCTTTATTAAAGGATAAAATAAAGAAGATTGGCCTAAAAGAATTATAGAAAGAATTCAGTAAGTTAGATGAGGTCCTATCTAGCAAATAGACAATTCCTTTGGTCTCTGTGATTAGCTTCTTCATCTGGCCCTCATTTGAATGTTTGGAACCACGGCAACTGAGTATGCCTCCCACATTCCAAAACTTAAGCTGTGGATGACAGCCATGAGGAGAGATCCCAGAGTATCAGCCTCTTCATTCATGGGAAGAACTACTGAGGCTTCCTAGATCTCAATCTATAGAACAGTATTGGGCCTGTGATGATGGGTTCTGAAGGCAACAAGAGTCAGAATGGAGCTGTGTCTGATAGTTTCTATAAACCATGATTTTATTTTTACCAAGTATTCACAATCTCAATGGCTCATCTCTGATTTGACATCCTGGCAAAATAGGGTTTCCACAGGATACTCAAAATAACGGTTTTGGTTTTATCATAGTCTTTGCTGTAACATCTCTCCCTTACCTTCTACCCCCTTCTCCCCTGCAGACCTAGACTTTAATCTAGAAGCTAACTTCTTATAGAAAATATTCACTGGGATATGTTGTGGTCATTTTGAGAAATAAATGTGTTTCAAGTTAAAGGAGAAAAAGAAAAGGAAAGGAAAAGAAGAGCTAAAGTGTAAATGTTCAGAAACTATATTAGACTGCCTTCTTCATAACATAGATACACTTGCTTTTATAATTTGGAATGTTTGTTTTTACCATGTATCAAGAACATTAGTGGGACACATTGTGATGATTGTATGTCATAACTATGCTGTGTTCCTCTTCTGCAAGTTAATTGGCAGCATTAAAGCTATCCATTAGCTATTTTTTCTCTGGATTGCTGCAGTAAGTGTGCAACAATAAAGCTGTTGTTTTCAGAAGGAATAAAATACACTATTTTTTTCTTTTAGTGCCAGTCTGGGGCTTGAACTCAAGGCCTGGGCATTGTCTCTGAACGTTTTTGCTCAAGGATACCACTCCACCACTTCAGCCACAGCCTCACTTCTTGCTTTTTGGGTGGTTAATTAGAGATAAGAGTCTCACAGACTTTTCTAAATGGGCTGACTTTGAACCACAATTCTTAGACCTCAGTCTTCTGACTAGCTAGGATTATAGGCATGAGCAGCAAAAGATGATGATTTCAATAATCCCCTTAATTTAATGACTCTTAACTAGGTGTGTTATTTATAGTAGAACTAGAAACCGTTTATGGTGATACATTGTTGGAAATGCAGATATTATTCACTGGCATGTAAACCTCAAAAACAAAGCAGGCGACATACATTTCATAGCTGTTAAAAAAGTTAAGTGAGATGATTTGCTAATGTCCTGTACTGATGTCTAAGATTAAAAGATCCTTTTTGGGGGGAGATTACTTTTTGTGGTAATGGATATGTGCAAGATTAAAAATGTGGTGTGTGAATTATTTTTGTCATATAGCACTGGGCTGGATGCAAGAAAAGAGTTGAAAAGGATTTGTCTATACTTTTACCAAAGTCACAGGCTTTTATCTTCCCCAAGAACTTCCACAAGGGTTTTTGTGTCTGTGCTGGCTTCAAACCTTGATCCTCAAATCTCAGACTCCTGAGTAGCTAAGGGTATAATAGTGAGCCAGAAGCATCTGGCTTAGAGTACCTCTTTAATGTTTTATTTTCGTTAGGTAATTATACAAAAGAGTTGCCATTCAGCAGAGCAGATTGTGGCAGTTCATTAATAAAGTGTTTCTGGGTTAATGTCATCTCTTTTAATATTTTCATCCCCGCATCCCACCCCACCCCTTACTCCACTTTTCTCAAGTTTTAGGTTCTGTATGGAATTTTTGCTATTTAACAAAGCACTTTGTGTGTACAAATGCATCTTGATCCATGTCATCCCTTCAACATCTTCACCCCCCCTTTGATGAACCCTTTCCCTTCTTCTTCTCAGTTCTGTGGCATATAAAATGCGTTATTGCCTATATTCTACTCATGGCCCCCATCTATTCTTCTACCCTTCTCCTCTTGCACCTGAGCATTGTAAGTGAATTAACTAAAACATATCTATGGAGAACAAAGATAGTGTAATTCTTTAGAAAGACTAAATTAAAGCCCAACAAAATGAGTAGCAGGAAATGGATACTTGTGAAGTGGGGGGGGGCTAAGAGGAGAGGGGTATAGAGTAATGCTTAAGTGTGGTTAAATTATTTCATTATAAAAAGCTGATTTATTTCCCCCTCTTACAGTCCAACCTCTTATGACATTTTTGTTGTGAAAACATCCCTTAGGTTGCATAGCTGTGCTTTGACATGATCTTAATGACCTAGTAGTTGTTGATGTAAATAAATGCATTCCTTCCTAACTCAATTTCTTCCTGGTTTCACTGCTTTTTTGTATTGATTTACAAAATAATAAAATGCTCGTAAGGCTGCTTTGTTTGGATTTCATGTTTAGAAAAGAAGGAAGCGATACTGAACATTGTGGTCTCTAAAGCCAAAATGTCTTGTTTTAAATCCCTTGTTAGGAAGTTCTACATCTTACTGTAGTGGCTGCATGTCTCTTTCTAGCCTCTTAGTTTGTGAATTAGAGCTATTCATATCTATGGTATCAGCTACTGTTCAGGTTAAATGCCCATACATGAGGAGTATCCAGATCAGTGATATATATATGTATATATATATTCATACTTATTAGGTGATACTAATAGTAATTATTTACTAAGTGCAACTATTATCATTCACACTAACTCCAGAAAATATTAACATGGAATGCATTATGTCAAATGTGCACAGGTTTTTATTGAAGAGAATTCTCATAGAAAGGCTTTGTCTTCAAAGTCCAGCAATAGGTTTATATATATGGTGCTATAACTGGATACAAAGCTCCAAAAGTCACATGCTTGCCCCCCTACTTATGTAAGAATCAAAGCCTTTGGTACTTCAATTTTTTTTTGGTGACTATACAGTTCATTAGATCACTTAGAAATGTCAATATGCAGCCAGACTCTAGTGACTCATGCTGATAATTTTAGCTCCCCAGGAGACTGAGAGCTGAGAGTCAAGGTTCAAAGCATCACTGGCAGAAAAGTCTCCAACTAACTAGCAAAAGTGCTGGAGTGGAGGCATAGCTCAAGGGGTAGAGCACCAGCTGTGAGCAAAAGAATAAAAAAAATCCTGAACACTAAACTCTGAGTTCAAGTCCCAGTATTGGCACACCCCCCCAAAAAAAAGTCAGTATGTGCATGGGCATAGATTAAAAACTTTTACTAAATTCACAGTATGTTTGGAAATCCTATGGATACTTTACAAATCAAACAGATAAGATTCAATCAACCTTGCCTTCCTTACTTATAAAGATGGGGCCAACATCTATTACACAGAATTCTGTGGCTTGAATACCAAAAAATAAACATTTTATATGACATACTGTTGGTCCACAGTAAATGTTATCTCCTTCCTATGATTTGATCACCAGATTGTGAAACTCTGGAATCAGGTTAGACATTAATAATAGCGACAACACCAGTAGTAATAATAGTAAACATAATAGTGCCTCTAACCTAAGCAGAGCTGGCTTTCTTTTAAACAGAGTGGGCCTGGATTTCCAGGCTATGCAGAGCTCTAAGTGTTAACCAGAAGGGATGAGGGGAGTAGAGGCTGGAAGGATGCTGGGGAAACAGATGAGAAATATGCTTCAGTTTCTGCTCTCTATCTTTGCAGCTTCCTAAATTTAAGGAACAAGTAACCTTTGTTGATTCTAGCCTATAGCATTTCCTTGGTGGGCACATAGTTTGTATAAATGCAATGGATGTTGGGTTCTAGTGTCTATTAATTAGAAGGTTCACCATGAAATCTCTGGTTTCTCCAGAAGCTCTGTTTTTCGCTGCTTCTCACATGATATGAATAGGCTATAGTTGAGAACTACTACTCTGTAGACTCTTAGTTTTTCCATCTATATTTTTTATTGTAAAAATACTGTACAGAGGGGTTACAGTTACATGAGTAAGGTCATGAGTACATTTCCTATCCAGCATTGTTACCTCCTCCTTTCCTTTTTCCTACCACCCCTTCCCTCGCACCTTCCCAACTCCCCCCCACCCCTACCCCTGATGTTGTAAAGTTTATTTTCAACATAGTATGTTGCACATCTCATTGTTGCAATGGGTCAACCTGTATCCTTATTTCAGCATTTTGTTATTTAATTTCTCCTTCCCAAATTAGAAAACTGTATATATAAGATGCAGGGTATCAGAATCAAATAACAGTGAAAACAGGGATTTTACTGGGGGGAAGAAGGTATAAAAGGAACAAAATTCTCATGGTACATTGAATTTGTAGATAGCCTTGGGAAATATTGCCATTTTCACGATGTTGATCTTTCTAATCCAGGAGCGTGGGAGGTTTTGCCACTTCCTTATTTCTGCTTTAATTTTCCTTTTCAGGTTTTTTTAAAGTTTTCATCATAGAAGTCCTTCACTTCTTTAGTTAACTCCTAGGTTATTTTATTTTTTGTGGGGCTATTACAAAAGGGTGCTTTCCTAATTTCAGCCATGCTCTTCCAAGCAGACTCATAACATATTCTTACTGGTACCTACTTTCAATAACACAAAATCATTCACTTCTTTTGGGTAGTTGATGACATTTTCATAAAATTATATTTAATGTTTAGGTACAAGTAATTAACATGAATATATTAAGTTTGTGGGTCCTTACACCCAAAGTGTACTTACCATGAAATCAAAAAATATATCAGCAATCTTATCTCTACTAAAAGGTAATCACACTAGCTGGGCACTGGTGGCTTACACCTGTAATCCTAGCTACTCAGGAGGTTGAGAGCTGAGGATCACAGTTTGAAGCTAGCCTGGACAGAAAAGTTTCTGTGAGACTATTATCTCCAATTAACCACTCAAATGGTAGAGTGCTAGCCTTGAGCACAGTCTCAGGAACAGCCCTGAGTTTAAGCCCTACAATGGACAAAAACAAACAACAACAACAACAAACTCCAAAGGTAGTCACACTAAATTTAGAAGCCCCCTATAGCTGCAATGGCAAGGAAATGAAAGACAGGTCACATTTGCCACAATTACTTTCATGCACTAATTGTAGTTGACAGTTCCTTAAAAGAAAGCTTTCTATTTTAAGTCCTGTTTATTGCTATTCCTCTTTTCACAGCTTTATTGAAAAAAAATAACAGAATTTTATGACTTTGGTTGGTGTTAAATGAATTCCAAATGACAGTATCATTAACAGACAAAATGAGAATGATATGTTTTGGGATATTAACAAGCAACTGCAAGTTAAATGTGAATTAATACAGTCAAATGTTTTAATGCCTCTTAATTCACTTAAAATATTTTGCCTTGGAGCAATTATTGGGTGTTGCATTTATGAAGTAAACTTGGGCTATGCAGTGCTTTTAAGCTTATCAGCCATGATCACCAAATAGGTATGTACCTTGACAAAGTTAGTAAGTAGTTTTAAGTCCAGGTGTCAGGAATAATGAGTGATGGTTCTGAAATGTTACTCTCTTTTCTCTAGTGTTGTCTGTGTTGGAGGCGATGGATCTGCTAGTGAAGTGGCCCATGCTTTACTTCTGAGAGCCCAGAAGAGTGCTGGGGTGGAGGCAGACCATGTCCTGTGTCCAGTCAGAGCGCAGCTTCCCCTTGGCTTAATACCAGCAGGTAAGGGAGTGGCCACAGACTTCTGAAATAGACACTGCTCTATCAATCCTTTGTCCCATTTCCAGTACCAACACAGTTAGACATATAGACTAGGAGTCTGAAAGACTTGGCTCTTGGCGTCTCCACTAGCAGACGTGAGGTTTGGGACAAACCAGTTTTGTCCTGAAATTCGGCTATTTAGTTAATCCATAATACTCACTTCATTACAAGGTTATTGCAGTACTAAATTAGATAACGTTTAGGAAGGGTTAATGCATAAACCATCAATATATGTAATTCCTTTTATTCCATGAAATATTCTACTGGTTACATAGTACTGAAGAGGGAGTTTCAAAACAGCCACTCCAACCAAACTACACAATTACAATTCCAAAGGAAATAAAATATGGAGCTCATATAATTGAAACTCTCATGTAATAACTAACTTCAAGAACCTACATGATTACTTCTGCCTCTCCAGAGGACCTGGAATGAGTTTCTTCAGGGCCTGGCTAAGTACCCAGTAGCTGGAAAAGAATGTGACACAGGCATTAGACATTTATTAAGCATTACTATAGCACATATTAAAGCAATGTGTCTCAAGGAGACTTTAGAGAGTAATTAACACTTTTGGCCTAAAATGGGTATAATTCTGAAAAGATGACTGTGAATTATTTTCCTAGCTATAAAAATAATAAAAAAAAATGACCGGAGTGACTGAGAAAAACAACACAACAACAACAACAACAACAAAATGGGGTGGAAGATTATGATGTGAAATGTGCCAGACCCTGGGTGTTCTGTAGCCACGCACAAGACGCTGTTGAGTTATATTTGAGATTCAGTAGAGAACTATGGGTTGTTTCACGTTGAGGGAGCCATTGGAGGTATTTGGTTTGAGGAAGACTCATTTTGCTGCAAGATGTACAATGATTAGAAGAGTGCAGAAGAACAGTTAGAGCAAGACTGGTCCAGAAAGCAGACCAACTTTTACAAGATTGTTATGTAATATAATAATCCTAATCCCAAATTCTTACTTAAACCAACAATAGTGAAGGAAATGGATTATTTTTAATTAAAAATATAATCCAGTGCTGCTAAAATAAAAGGAAAATAATTTTTATCGAGGAAAAAAATACCTGAGACTGAAATTTCAGAAAAACATTATTTGCAAACCATGTTTGATTAGTGTGAATTCAGTGTATGTAATACTGCTATTAAATTGAAAAATAATAGGAATTCCAGTACATGTTTTTAATTTAAGGAGTTTTATTTATGTTTTTATTTTAAATTTTTATTGTAAAGGTGATGCACAGAGAGGTTGCAGTTTTATAAGGCAGGTATTGAGTACATTTCCTTTTGAACAGTGTCACCCCTTCCTTCATTTTCTTTCAGTTTTTCCATCCCTACTCTCAAGTTATAGTGTTCATTTCCAACTTTCACTGCCGAATTAGTTCACCCCTTGTTCCACCATTTCTGTGCTCCTATTTTCCTCCTCAAATCAAATAAACTTACATACCCAATGCATTCTTAGAAAATAAAGTCATTCATAAAAGCAAGCACTTGAATATGCTAAGATATATAATTATAATTTCAAGATATATATTATATGTAATAAATATCATATATTTATATATGATCAATAATGGTTTCTAAAAAGGAAATTATAAAGTAACCTTCAAAGGAAAAAGAGAAAAGATGTGTTTGAGGTCATTGTTTTATGTCATTTTATCTTTTATTTTTGACCTTTTTGTGTCTAAGGTTCTGAGTGCAGTTAGGGGAACCTTTCTAATATTTCCCTCTCTGGGAATATATGTGCTGAATTCATGGGTTATTTTTTTTAAAAGTTTCTTATGCTTATGTTTATTACTTTTTAAAATGATATTATTAAAGTGTTGTTCAGAGAGGTTACCATTTCATCATGGGTTCTTTTCATTAGTATTTAGAGTTCTTAGGTTAGGCACTAACTTCCCTGTTTCAAAGGTTAAAAGGAGAGGTTCCAAGATTGTGTGTGTATGTGTGTGTGTTTGTGTGTGTATGTGTGTGTATGTGTATTAGAGAGAGAGAGAGGGAGAGAAAGATATTAAACAGCAAAACAACAAGTAGCATTTCCAGTTACATTTTTATTATGTACCTGATTTTATAAAGGAATCATATTGAATTTATCCTTTAAAAATATATTTCTGATTCCAAGACTATTCTATACATTCTCTGGGTATTTGTTGAAATGCAATTGAATGTCTTTGTTTAGAAGACACTGTACATTGTCACAATTCTTGTTGTTGGGTGAAAGATTCAGCTTACTAATTCTAAAAGAAGGGAAAATCACGTGTGGGCTGTGTTTAATGTGAGGATACTCTGCTTAGTCAGGGATCTTGATAAGGAATGAGAGAGCAAGAGCAGGAGCTGTCCAAGCTGAACATGAGGACATAGTCTGCCTCTGAAGCCATTTGCTTCCTAGAGAGAGACACCCAGAGGGAGAGTGTTTAGTAAATTACTCCACTGAGCCAACAGACTAAGCCACTGAATTATGATCAGGCTCAAATGGATCAGATGTGGAGAAGCCTGTATTTGAACTGCTGGTCATTAGAAATTATGCTTGTTGCTATGGGAACTGGTGCTAAGGAGCTACACAGAAAGATTCCGATTAAAACTGGGGAAGAGGAAGAAAAAAGCCTGAGAGGACATAAAAATAAAAAGGCAATCCAGTCGTTGTAAAACAAGACTCAGTCCACATACTGATGGCTGTGAACCATTTATTTCTATAGAGTTTGCATAAATAAATTCATGCTTTCCAATTAATTTGAGGAGAATAAAATATTGCCAAGGGACTCTTAATTTCTATGATATTTCAGGCAAAGAACCAAACTGTAGGTGCCATTTTCATGAGAATTTTAGATATGCTTGACTAGGAAGTCATTACATCACATTTATCTGTTTGGATGTGGGAGACATTAACAGCCTTATGAATATTCATAGTGTCTGGTTAATTAAGTTAATTGTTCAGCAGAAGTGCTTGCACTTCCAAGGACTTTTTCTTTTTCCTCCCTGTCTCTCTGTCTCTCTGTCTCTGTCTTTGTCTGTCTCTCTGTCTCTCTGTAGTTTTCTGTCTAGTATTTCATCAGTCACACTTTCCTTAATTGCTACTGCTGTCCTTATCCTTTGTATTTGACACATATTAGCAAGCCTGTGGAGGGGAGGTGGTGGGCAAAGATTATAGTAGTGTGAAGAAATACAGTATAACTTTTGGGCCTAATTAAAATGTTTACCTTGAGACAGAACATTTATAGCTTATGTAGAATCATTAAAATTATACCATTGTTAGTTATATGAACAATATTTTTGGCATGGCGATACCTTGTCAAATAGAGCGCAATTATTTGAACCAAAATGTGATCCATTTTCAGATGAGCCAGACAAAAACTACCTATAATTTGACAATTACTATGAACTTTCTCATAAACTTACTATTTTCTTTAGAGTATAAAAATCTCTGTTCAGAAATTAAGGTACCTTAGGGAATAGAAGATGCCTAAAATAGAATTCTGAGTTCTGGTCATGCTTATGCTCACTGCTAAATTCTACACAATCAGGACGAGTTACCATGTCTGAGAGAGTGTACACCTAAAATCCATCTCAAGCCCTGCAAAGAGATTGGTACTTGAGCACACTTGCTGGGAGTGAGTATGTTCATTCAAACTCACAGGAAGCAAGCAATCCATTTCCTTGAGTCATGATATGTGTCATTCTCTATCACACATGGCAATACATTATGCTTTTTAATAGCCTTTCTAGAGGAATATGTTTTATGGTCTACTCCTAATTAACCATGGTAATGGAGGAAGTGTATTTCATGGAGTACTGTAATCCATTGATAATCCTAAATATCTCACTCTAATTATGTGGCCTCCCATGAAACCTTTACCATAAATCTGGGAAGAAAACTGGATTGATTTGTTTTCCCTTTTCATTCTCTTTCTTTTTTGAGAAAGATTAACAATTTAGTAGCGAAAGGGCAAGATGTAGGAAGCCAAAGACTTATTGGAAAGGCCTGTGTTCAGATTCAAAGAGTCTCATGTTTGCAAGTGACTTCTTCTCAAACAGTAGAGTATAATGGAATCCCCTGGAGGTCTTGTTAACACAGACAACTGGGTGACCCTTCCATAGATGCACACTCACAGCACACACACACTCTGATTGAGTGAGCTGCAGGTGACACCCAGGGATCTGCATTTTTCACAAGCTTCTGGGTAATTTGGATCCTGCTGATTTATAGACCAGAAATTCCATATATACCTCAAGTCATGGGTACACAAGTCATTGGGGGTATTAAAAAGTACAGACTTAGTTCAGTATATCTAGAGTGACCTCTGAAAGTCAATCTTTTAAAAGTGTATATTCTCCATTAATTGCTTATTCAAACTCTTTCCTCACCTATTTTTAAATTGACATAAACCTATACATATTTAACACATGCAACATGATGTTTTGAAATATGTACACATTGTGGAAGGTCTAAATTAAGCTAATTATGCTAATTACCATATATTGCTCACATACTTATTTTCGTGTGTGTGAGAACACTTAAAATCTACTCTCAGCAATTTTCAAGTATGTAACACATTAATTATAATCATCGTGTAGTATAACAGCTTTCTTGAACACATTCTTCATAGTTCAAAATTTTCATTTTCAGAGGCAAACCTATCCCAAACTTGTCCTCTGTTGGCCCATAGTAATGTGAGTACATGTTCTCTGCTTTTACAATTTGAATTCAGGGCTTCACATGCCCTACAGGATGTTTTCCCATATGCACTATTCCACCAGCACTGTTTTGTTTGGCTATTTTAAGATGGGTCTTGCTTAAAGCTCGATCCAACTTGGACTGGAATACTCCTACTAGTAAATCACATTTTCCCTGGGATGGCAGGTGGATGCTACTTCATCTAGTCCTTGTCTTTCCTCCATGGCTTTGAATACAGGCATTCATTACTGAATCCAGCCATTGGATTAGATGGAGTCTTGTGAACATTTTACACCCAGGGCTGGCCTAAAACAACAATCCTTCAATTTATCTCAGCCTCCCAAGTAGTTGGAATAATTAGCTTGATCCACCATTGTCAGCCAATTTACAAAAATATTGTGTATAAAGGTGAAATTGCATAGTATTCATTGCATAGTACCTGCCTATTTCATGTGGCATAATACCCTCCAGTTTCATTCATATTGTCTCAAATGATTGGATTTCCTTGGGTTTGAACTCCAGCCTTGAGTCATATCTCTAGCCCTGTTTTTCATAGAATATTGTTTGTGGGCCTGAACCATGATCCATAGTGGATCATGGATTACATAGGATTCAAATTATTATTGGGATGGCAAGCACATTCTTGCTTGGGTATCCGGCTGCCCTCAGGGTTTTAGAGCTTTTTATCTGGTCCAGTCTGGATCTCCATTATCCTCCCAATCTTAGCCTCTCATTTAGCTTGGCAACTGAAGTCATGACTGTGCCCACGTATACATTGAGAAAATGTCTTGCTACCATTAATCTTCATTCTCAGCTTCGCAGTTAGCTAGGATTACAAAGGTGAGGTTGGCTCTCAGCCAGGATTTCCTGTTTTAATAAATATGAATACTATTCTATTGTGAATATATACCATATTTCCACTCATCCATTGATGAATACTTAGGTTAATTCAATGTCTTGGCTGTTATGAAAAACTTCCTTTTCAAAAGGAAGCCCCTCAGTAATTGTAGTTCTGTTTTCAGGGTTTTTGTTCGTTTGTTTGTTTGTTTTGTTTTGAACCTCCATACTGTTTTTCCTTTCCCTATTGTGTTATCTTGACACCTTTATGGAAAATCAGTTGAGATTTTTATTTCTGGGATTATATCCTGTTCCCTAGGCCCCTCTCTCTCTCTCTCTCTTTTAATCTTTCCTGAAATACTTTCTTTTTTTAAAAAAAATTTATTGTGAAAATACCGTACAGAGGGTTACAATTACATGAGTAAGGTAATGAGTACATTTCTTATTAAGCATTGTTGCCTCCTCCTTTGTTTCCCCTTCCCATCTCTTCCTATTCCCCTCTCCCCTGCCAGAAACACAACAAATCAAAGAAAGGTTGGACAAATGGGATTGCATGAAATTATAGAGCTTCTGCATGGCAAAGGACATAGCTAGCAAGATCAATAGAAAGCCCATGGATTGGGAAAAGATCTTCACTAGCCATACAATGGACAAGGGTCTCATATCTAAAATATACTTGGAACTCAAAAAATTAAATCCCCCAACAACAAATCCTCAAAGAAACAACTGCCCAATAAATAAGTGGGCTAAAGACTTAAAGGGAAACTTCTCTGAAGAGGAAAGAAGGATGGCCAATAGACACATGAAGAAATGCTCAACCTCTCTAGCCATAAAAGAAATGCAAATCAAAACAACATTGAGATACCACCTCACCCCAGTTAGAATGGCTATAATCAAGAGCTCTAATAACAACAGATTCTGGAGGGGATGTGGACAGAAGGGAACCCTACTGCATTGTTGGTGGGAGTGTAAACTTGTTCAACCAGTTTGAAGGTTCCTCAAAAGACTCCACATAGAGCTCCCCTATCACCCAGCAATCCCACTTTTGGGAATTTACCCAAATGATCACAAACAAGACCATACTAAAGCTACTAGCACAACTAGGCTTCTCTTTTTTATACCAGTATTGTGTTTTTCAAAATTACTGTAACTTTGTAGCATATTTTTAAATCAATGTGATGCCCATTGCTTTGCTTTTTCTCCTCAAGAGTGCTTTAGCCACTGAGGGTATTTTGTGGTTCTATATATAAGATTTTAATGAGAAAAATGGGATTGCATCAAATCATTGGATGGAAATTGGTTTGGGATTTAGCAATATTCTCCCAATTAATGAGCATGAATAATTTCTCATTTATTTGTGTTATGTTCAATTTCTTTAATCAGTATCTGTTGATTTTCAGTGCTTTTATAATTTTCTTTTGCCTCCTTTAAAAAATTTGTTTGTAATGGTTTTGCTTTTGTAGCCATGATAAATGGGATTAAAATTATTTTTAGAAGGTTTGTTGTAAGTCTATAGAAACATTAATGGCTTTTGTATGCTGGTTTTTTTTTCTTGCAATCTTAATGAAGCTATTACTTCTAACAGTTCTTTTGGTATAGTCTTTAGTGTTTTCTATATATGTGTTATTTGCAGCAGTGACTTTTTTCTTTTCACTTTTTAAAGTTTCTTTCTCTTGACTCTCTACTCTGGCCTGGACTATTGTGAATGGTAAAGTAAGAGTAAATGTTAACTTATGAACTTAGAATGTATGTTATATTGATGGTATATGATTTCACTTTGCTTTGACAGGATCAACTAATGTTCTCGCTCATTCTCTTTATGGGATCCCTCATGTGGTAACAGCAACTTTGCACATTATCATGGGTAAGAATTCTTCCAAATAATTTCATATTGTGAAAAAGATTTTTATTTACATAGAAAACACTGTGACTTCTGTCTTATTTAAGGAATGGCAAATTTGTTGTCTCTCAAAGTAGAGAAACATTTGACTACAACCCCATAATTAATTAGGCAAGGTTTACATTATTTTATCACTTCTCTTTTCAAAATAGATACTTGGTAAAGAACCATAAATAAAATCTTGCTATAATCTACACAAAGAAATGTTATAATGTTGTTCAAAAATCACAATTTTTTAATCAGATCAACAAACACCCAGAATACTATCTGTGTACGTAATGTATACAATTGTTGTACCATGACTAGGATTATGCTATTAAGAGAAGAAAATGGAAGGAAAAGTAATTTGCATGGTATACATTTGCAGACCAAATTGATAGCATTGCATCCTAATTGACAGCATTTAATTTAAGATAAATTCAGTGAAAATTACTGTTTTGTCAAAGTATAATTTGCCCAACAGCTTCATATCCTTAATCATGTTTTACATGAAACAGTAATAAGTTGCAAATTTTACTGCTTTGTAATCCTTCATTTAGCTCCTGAGAAAGTTATAAAGAACATTTGCAGTAGGTCTAGTTAACAGAGATAAATCAAGGATATTCATTAGGGTGCACAGTATTTCCAGATATTCTTCTACAAGGTATGGTCTCCCATGTTTGTTGTTTTGACAAGATGCCTTACAGCACTTACTGATGGACTGCTGTCACCCTGGTTTGTTCAAGGACACCTGCAGCCAGTTGATGTCTGCACGTTTAGCACCTGTGGCAAACTTCTTCGCTTTGGCTTCTCCGCCATGTTTGGCTTTGGTGGAAGAACTCTGGCTCTAGCAGAAAAGTATCGCTGGATGTCTCCTAACCAAAGGAGAGATTTTGCTGTGATTAAGGCCCTGACAACACTTAAGTAGGTGTTTTTCTTAAATGAAAAATTCTATATCCCATGGTCAATGGCTATTAATAAGATTTTTGTTATATTTTAGGCCAGAGGATTGTACAATATCATTTTTACCACTTAACAACTCTCAGGATGAACTCCAGAGGTACTGTATCTGTTGTTAAAGCATAGTACTTTTGATCATACACAGTGCATCAGATTTGTAATCTTTCGTGATTATATACTAAAGAAGGGTACAGAATAATTAATTGACTCCTACAGATCTAACCACATCATTCTGCCTTTTGGCCTGGTCATTTTCCCTTCATCCAGTCATTTATTCACTCAAGAATTGCTTGAGTGTGTACTGTATACCAGGTACTTTGCATATAACCATAGGTAACCCCCCCACACACAATTCTGCCCATATGAGAATTTTAGAGTGAATATAAACATTAAGCCATACAAAGAAAGGATTCCAGTTATCAGGGAAACAGAAAATCATTGTTCATTGTTCTTACCACTTTTTATACTTTTAAACTAATAGGCACATTATGACGTTGTCAATAACAAAATGATATACATATGTTTACTAAGAAAATATTGACTAGGTCCTCTGCTTTTCCAGAGTTTAAAAATGCGCGTGTCCTAATTTTGTATCTTTTGTTTTCTTTCTTTTAGACAAGGCTCTCCCAAGTCTGGTGAGTCTAATTGTATCTCTTTGAGATCTGGGGCAAGCTCTACTAAGGTTTTACTCTGCTGAAGGAAAGTCACTAATGACTTCCATTACCTCTAGGCTGCAGTGACCACTGGCAAACGCTACAGGGTCAGTTCCTGAATGTCAGCATCATGGCAATCCCTTGTCTGTGTTCTGTGGCACCTAGAGGTTTGGCACCTAACACTAGGTGAGTTGGCATGTTTACTGAGTCACTAATATTCTTTTATATAAACTCAACATTCATTTACATGATCAATAAATCAGCTAGCTAGACTCTTACCAAGAGTCTCTCTGTAATCTTAGAATTTTCAAAGGATTTTTCACCATGCTAGATGGAGAACAATTGTGGAACTATAAAATTTGTCAACTAATCAGTGATTATCTAATATTACTGAGGCTAAAATAATATTCCTTGTGTCTTACTGAAATAATTTTGTTACTGAAATAAAACTTTGTTGCTGTATTTATATTTATTTGCTAGGCTTGACAACATCATTAAATTCTTGTTCTTGTAAATGTATCTTCATTGAAATTTTAGAAACATAAATATCCTTTAACATGAAAAGGATCATGTGTCTGGGTGTATAGTTGATAGTTTTAGTTAAAGAAAACACTTTGGTCCTATTTAATATGCACTGTGGCACATAGGAATCTCTTGTCCATGTTTTCCATTAAATAAGTGGAGATATTTTCTATGTCTTGGACACAAGGCTTTAGATCTTCCTTTTCTTGCTTATTCTTTTAAGCAGCTGATCATTTATCTGTCTAAAACTAATTATTTCGTTAATCCAGTCACACAGAGCACAGAAGAAACTATCATAAATGATGTAAATTAGAATCAATTGTATATTGTTCTCAGAAGTTAGATGACAGGATGATTTAAATATGTGGACAAGTTATAATGTTTTTAATGATTAATTTCAAATTCCCTTTAAAGATATTTACCCAGAATGACTTAACAGCTAGAAATAGGAATTAATTTTCAATAACTACTTTGCAATGGATAAAAAGGTTATAAACAGGGAAATACCCACAATTTTAGAAAAAAGAGGGAAACCAACTTTGGTGATTAAAACTCAGATGACATCATCTTCATAATTATGTCTAGTTGGAAGGTGTATTTTGAAGCTTTTATAATTCTCAAATTAAGCCTAGTTATTTCCAATCCACATCCTCAGTAATTCTAGGCAGTTTCCTTCACTACCCTCTAAAAGCTGGCTGCTGACTGACAGACTGTGTTCTATAGGAATCTAGACATTGCTTGTTGCTCTAGGACCTTTACAGGAGGAAGTTCAGTTTTGGAAGGAGCAATTGACTCCCACCTTCTTCAAAGAACTACAGTTGGTTGGATTCTACTTCTGACTGCCCAGGTTGAATCAGTATTGATGAGTTTTTCAGAGGAGGAGGATTAGAGATTTCTCCTGTGGTTTATAGTAAAAACAAGCCATTTTCTGTACAAAGGGCCTTTAGCTTGGACCTCAGTTTTGCCAGAGATTATCAGAAATATGGTTTCTGGATGAATCAAGACAAGTAAAGAGGGAATCCTATTATCAACTTTTTTCCCTGATAAAGTTTAATTTACTTCAAATTAATTTCCGTACAAAAATAAAAATAGACAGTAGCTAGATATCAGTGGCTTATGCCTATACTCTCAGTTTAGGAGGCTAAGATCTAAGGATTGTGGTTCAAAGCCAGCCCAGGAAGGAAAGCTTGTGAGACTGTTATCTCCAATTAATCACTAAGCTTAAAAATATTGCTAATTACTGAAAATATTGAAAAACAAATGTAAGCAATAAATTTCATATTTATGAAATTATACAATTAAGAAAAATGATATAGAGTAGCACTTGACCAGATATTTTGGTGCTGTTTATTTTCAGTATAGAAGAGGTGGCAGGATGGTAGAATGAGTTTTGGACTCTAGCTAAGAGCTCTAGGACTGGTTATTGTTCTGCTTTGTTCTGTGTACCTTACACACTTACATTTAGATGGGTCTTCTACAAAAAAATGAGTAAATGACAAAATGGTCTTCAAGGTCCCTCAGGATTCTCCAAAAGATATAAAGAGCTCTTTCTAATGTTGTTATTCTTGGGATAAGTTCATGTTTGTACTGAAATCAAGCCTGGAAAAATTTGCATGTATTTCTGCAAAATGCCTTCTAAAGTTCTGCATTGTGAGTGGCTGGCTTTGACATTAAATCACAACTCTGAATCTCTAGTCTCTTACATCACATGGAATAGTTATGTGAGATTAAAATGCTCAGGTATTACTGGGCACTGGTGGCTTACACCTGTATTCCTAATTACACAAGAGGCTGAGATCTGAAGATCATGGTTTAAAGCCAGGCCAGGCAGGAAAATCTGTGAGACTCTAATCTCCAATAAACCACCAGAAAACAGGAAGTGGCGCTGTGGCTCAAGTGGAAGAGCGCTGGCCTTGAGCTGACGAGCTGAGGGACAGCACCCAGGCCCAGAATTCAAGCCCCATGACCACCCAAAAAATAAACAATACTCAGGCATCTAACTGAACCTGTGTGGCTGAGTTGTTCATGTCATCCACCAAGGGCACTTTGATTTATTTCCTTTCATATGTCACTGAGAACTTCTTCCCATAAATAAATATTTCAGATACAGTTTACATTTCACAAAATGTTAAAATGTGTTGCAGCATTTATGTATATTAACTACTTTATAATGTATCTTTAAAATGTAGTTTTACATTTCAAATTGTTAAATAGTTAGAGTGACTTTAAAAATTATGTCTTGATGAGAGTTCATTTTTTTAATTTTAAAGAGCAAAGATTCAGTAGCTTGCTGAAAAGAAAGATGATAGGTCAGTAAAAGTAATTTGAAAAGATAGATCATTTAAATATTAACCTAAGCATTGGGGAATTAGCTCAGTGGAAAAGCACTTGCCTGGCAAATGCAAGGTCCATAGTTCGGTCTTCAGCTCTGGAAAGAAAAATAATAAGAAAAAATAATAACCTAGAAAATATGGATTAATAGTCTTAGGTAAATTTAATCTGCCAGTGATTATATGACTTGCTCCATATATTAGGTAAGCAATATATTTATTATAAGGAATAGCCTGCAGGTTTCAATTCAGGGGCTCAGGTTTGCTTCAGTTGGTCAGCTACTGCTCTACCATTCCAGCCATGCCTCTAGTTTTGTATTTCACCAGTTATTTTGTAGATGGAGCCTCAAGGACTTTTCTGACCAGTTTGGCTTTCAACTTAGATCCTCTAAATCTCACTCTCCTGGTAGCTAGGATTACAGACCTGAGCTACTTATGCCCAATGTCTTCATAATCTTCTTATTGTCAAATACTATTTAATTTCAGATTAAATAATGGAAGCATGGCTCTTATAATTGCACGAAACACTACTCGGCCAGAATTTATAAAACACCTGAAACGATATGCCAGTGTAAAAAATCAGGTATAGTAAATTCTCTTTATTTATTTGTGAATCTATTAATCATGATGAAAAAGATATTTCAAGAGTTGACATCAAGTCAGGCACTAGTGGCTCATGCCTGTAATTCTAGATACTCAGAAGAATGAAATCTGAGGATTATGGTTTGAAGCCAGCCTGGGCAGGAAAGTGTATGAGAATCTTATCTCCAATTAATTACCCAAAAGCTGTAAGAAGAGCTCTGACTCAACTGGTAGAATGCTAGCCCTAAGCAGAAAGCTCAGAGAGAGGGCCCAGACCCTGAGTTCAAGACTCAAGAGGGGCACCAAAAAAGAAAAGTTGGCATCAAGTTTTGCTGATAAGAAAGCTTTTCTTCTGAATATGTTAATCTTTTTAAAAATAAATTTTCATTCAAAATAGGAAATGCATGCACAGTTGTACAGATTTGGGTGTTCCTGACATAAAAAGTGGCAAAAATCTGAGAGTTTTGCTTTCCTGCTTTTTAAAATAATGATGTTTAGAGTTTTCCAACATTTATTTGCAGATCTGTGTATGGCCATTAACTACAATAGAATTACCAATATCTATTTTAAAGGATACCCTTTTAGTAGGGAATATTCAAAACTATATCATATAGAGATACAAATTTCCACTGAAGTGATGAGCTTTAATGTGAAACAGAAGTGATTACGAACCAAAGTCTTTTTTTTTTTTTTGTCGGTCATGGGGCTTGAACTCTGGGGCCTGAGCACTGTCCCTCAGCTCTTCAGCTCAAGGCGAGCACTCTACCACTTGAGCTACAGCGCCACTTACGGTTTTCTAGTGGTTTATTGGAGATAGGAGTCTCACGGTCTTTCCTGCCTGAGCTGGCTTTGAACCACGATCCTCAGATCTCAACCTCCTGAGTAGCTAGAGGCATGAGCCACTGGTGCCTGGCTACAAACCAAATTCTTTTGGCAGATATTGACAGAATCATTTAGTATTGATCCAGCAATTAGTCTTGAAGTTTTCAGGTGTGGCAATAAAACCTTATGTTGCACATCTTCAAGGTATAAAGAATGTTAATACAATGTTGATACAAGAATGTATATGCTTGGATATAGCTAGTACCACACAGGTGGGGAGATCAGGAGAGAGAATCCAGCAAGGAGCCTCTCCAATATCTTTGCATGCCTTAGTCACTCCCAGGCTGCCTCTTTTACCTCACATTTTCAGACTTTTTTAGTCTGAGTAATCACCTTGACCTGTTTAGGAAATTAAATAGCAAAATAAATGAAATTGTGGCATACTTTCTTTAAATTTGTCTCTAGGAAGATGAAGTTGATAAGGAGATGTCTAAGACATAATTTTACACAAGTGTAGTTAAAGAAAATATGTAGATGTACTATTTTTCCCAAAGTAATGTCTCTTTCTGATTTTGCAGTTTTTTTAAATGTTAAAACAACTTTATTTTTTCTTAATCCAAAAGTACTATGTGTTTGCTATGTTTTGGTCCAGAAAACAGAAAAGGAAGGCAATATTAAAGGTACTTAAAATTCTATGTTTCTAAGGTTAATCATTATCACTAAGTTGGTATAGATTTTTTATTATTTTTTTTATTGTGAAAATACTGTACAGAGGGGTTACAATTAATCTGATAGCATCTGTTACAAGATTCTCTCTGTGAAGATCCTACTTCCAAACAAGTTCCAGGAGTTACACTTATTTTTTTGGAGGGGAACAGTCATAATTTAACCCATAATTGCCAGTTATTAATAACTTATTCAAAACATGCAACCTTTAGAATGAATAATTACACAGAAGTATTTGTGAATGTAGAACCTGTCCCCAGAGCTTTACATCCAAGTTAAGAAGTCTGACTTTGTGATTATCAAAGTATTTCACAGAGAACCAGGTTGGTTCCACAGAGAACGGTCTAACTCTCTTCCAATCCAAACAGATGATGTAACATTGTAATCTTTTCTGTAACTTAGATTATTTTACACTCTAAGCTGTAAAGTAAGCTGGAGCTTCATTTTTACGTGTGTAAGATAAGGGGTTTACAAAATAATACTTTTCCATCAACTTCTAAATACTGTTAAAATTTATATTTGGAAAAGATGAGAAAGTAAGGTAGATAACATATTTATCTGGGGGGTAAATCTCATGCCATTTGACTGAAAACTGACTGAATAGCTATTGTACATTCACATGAAAGTGATTTGGTATTATTTTCTTGATGATTTCAGATGATACAATAGTATTTTTTTATAGTTTCCTTAGATAGGTAACATGAAAATTTGCAATTTCAATATTACCTTCAAAACATTCTGGAGGGGTCAGTAAGAAACACAATTATCTCATAATTTATAATCCTTTTTGTAAAGTCGGGAGGAAGCAGACAAACACTTGTGAAAATTTTATTTCTTTTTTTCCCTTTAGAGAAGATATGTTTCTCATTTCATCTTCGTTAAGTTCAGACCTAGATTCTTCCAGATTCAATTCTGAATGAAAAACTAACACTGAGAGTAAATTGTATCAGCAAATGGCATCAAACTAACAAATTTCTAATGGAATAAATGGATTATGAAAATCTTCAATATCAGTAGACTCATATTACAGAATGTGTGTGTGTGTGTGTGCGTGCGTGCACGCATGTTGGTCCTGGAGCTTAAATTAGGATCCTTGACAATGTCCTTGAGCTGTTTTGCTCAAAGCTAGCACCCTACTGCTTGAGCCACAGCTCAACTTCCAGCTTTTTTGGTGATTAATTGGATAGAAGAATTTTACAGTCTTTCCTGCCTGGGCAGGTTTTGCACAGAAATCCTTTAATCGCAGCCTCCTGTATATCTAGGATTATAGATCTGAGCCACCAAGTCTGGCTTTATAGATTGTTTTAATGGGAAAATTTATATTGTGTGTAATTTTTCATAGATATTGTCATGTAACAATGTTGATTATCATATAGAAGATCTAGTTGAGCCAGGATAGCTTTAGGAAAGGATTTCATTTTCAAATATCAAAACAAAACAAAACTTAATATCTCTGACCATAATATTTAAAGCTATTTAGAAATTGTCAGCACATATGGTGATACTTATTTGTAAGGGGGGCAGTGAACCCTGATTTTCATGAACAGGTTAAGATAAAGAAAGTGTTGTGACTATTTGCATTTGTTTTATTTAGTTCAGTTTTCCATTTGTGGAGACATATACTGTTGAAGAAGTAAAGGTTTGTCCAAAGACTAAAACCAGTGGATACAGTGAATCAGAAGAAGTTGGACCTCATGAATCTGCTTCAGAAACCAGTCTCCCTTGGAACATAGATGGTGATTTAATGGAAGTTGCATCAGAAGTTCATGTGAGGTGAGCATAATTCCTTCACCACTCTACATGGTCTAGAGATGTGTCACTGGTCTTCTTCTAACTGTGGGTCAGCTCAAAAACAGTAAATCAAGGAAAACATAAAAAGACACATGCATAACTTTCAGTAAATAAAAAAGTACAACATTTAATTTATTCACCAATTTGTATATAGAACAAAGGCATATTCTTTGGTTATGTTTTTCTACATTGGCATTCTAAATGATCATTCTGTATAAACTATACAGATGTCTGTCCACAGTTTCATTTTGGCTTTTAAGTAATAGATTGAGATTCTGTACCATCGTGAGAAGGAGACAGCCCCAGTCTTTTTAGTTTCTTCCTACTGTGCTCGGGCTTAAGCCTTAACACTTTTTGTCGGGAAGTTTGCTTTTTCTCAGATCTTTACAAAGTATTCAACATGCTTTACACAAGAACAATTTTACAAATTATTTAGTTAAGCAACAAGTGCAAAGGGTATTGACAGATTTAGGAGCAAGCCAACAGATTCTTGTTAATCAAGTAGTTGGGAAGGAGTACCCACTAGATCTGCTTATTCTATAAGAATAATGTGTCTGTCCTGATGGAGAGCACTCATGGGTCCAGGAAGATGGTTAAGAAAGCTATCAACTAGTACTGATACTCCAGGCTCCTCACTTTGCTAGACTACTGCTCAGCCTTGAGTGTATATTTAATATCAATTTCTATGTGGTACTATGTGACATGCTCAGCATGTGTGTGTGTGTGTATGTGTGTGTGAAAAATAACAATGATATATTGATGAAGTAAGTTATTCTTATTATTCTTTGCAGATTACACCCAGGGCTTATCAGTCTTTATGGAGGAAGCCTAGAAGAAATGAATGATTGCAACGTAACATGTAATTGCTTATAAAAAGAACTAACTAGAATTTTAATATACAGGAATTTGGCTACACTTTAAAGACATATCCAAATAGAAAATGTATTTTTAAAAGAAATCACTATTTTGACATTCCTAAAAAAAGTAGTTCAAGGGCTTTATAAATCAAGATGAAAATATAGCTGCATCAAAACCAATCTGAATTCTAGTTTTAGAAGTTGTTTATTGAAATTGAAATAAAATGTTTCATATATTTAGGCATCAGCATGATATATCAAAATTTGACCAAATTAATTCCAAAGTAGTTTCTTTTGGTTTTCAAGATTTGAGTCTATCACATCTGATGTTCCATTCCCGTTAGCCAAGTTACAAACAGAACACAGAGATCGGACAAGATTGCCCTAGATTTTACTAACGGCATAACCAATTCATAGGGGTTAAATTTAAGTATCACACAAACTAGTTAGTGATATTACCAGAAACAACAAAATTCCCTCCTCCAAACTCCCCAGTTCTAACTGATTCACCAAAAACAAAACAAAACAAAAACAAAAAACGAAGACAGGCACCAGTGGCTCACACCTTTAATCCTAGCTACTCAGGCAGCTGAGATCTGATTGCAGTCAAAGCCAACCTGGGCATGAAAGTCCGTGAGACTCTTATCTCCAGTAAACCACCAGACAATCGGAAGTGGCGCTGTGGCTCAAGTGGTAGAGCACTAGCGTTAGCGAAGAGCTGAGGGACAGCACTAAGGCCCAAAGTTCAAGCCCCCCTACTGACAAAAACAAAAACAACAATAAGAATAACTCATTTGAAAAGAATTATAAATTGCTTCAACTTATCAAAATTTATGATGAAATCTATTTAGAAATGTGCAAACTATCTTTGTAACTGAGAAGAGCCTAGCCATGTTGCTCCTGATCCTGGAAGGCCTGGGTCACCACCAGAACAGTTGGTTCTCAGTGTGAAGAATCAAATTTCTATTAAGCTCACCCTTGAAAAGGCATTTCTAAATTGTACTTGATTTTTCAGAAATGAACTTAAAACTTTTCTCAAATGAACAATTTGGCTTTCATAATGAGAAAGCACTAAAATATATCTTTTGTACAAAGCACACTAAAAACATATACATTTAAGTAAATTTATTTTTGCTTGTGTATTTTGAGCTTAGGCTTTGTCTCAAGTAGCATGGCTGAAATGCCTTCACAAATCTCAGTACCTTCTCCAGCTACCAGTCATAAACACAGGCTTGAACAAGTAACTTTTATAAACCAGGAAATCTGAGAAAGGCAGCAGAGATTTTGTGGAAAGCAATCACTTCCACAGCTGTTAAAGTTTTCCTTCTTATTTATCTTCTTGATCACTTCCAATAAAATTAGGCTTACATATACAAATAAAGACAGGTCCAGATGAAAGTATATTCTACAGTTATCAACATCTAGATTACATGAATGAAATAAATATTACAAAAATGATTGTAGTTGCAAATGTATTTAAAGATAAGTTATTTAAAATTCAGTAAGAAGCTATTTTTAAACAGAATCTTATTTACTTAGAACAAACATTCTGAATGTTTTTTATCAATTAAAAAGGGAAATTATGTGACAGGATATAAATTGATACTCACTGTATACAAGCTAAATCTATATTTTTCAGTTAAGTCTGTGAATCTGATTTCTCCTTTTCTATGGACAACAGATTTTCATAAAATTTCATTGAATGCTTATATTAGAAAAGTAACAAAAAGCAAATATCTTATTTATTTAATGTAGACAGTGAATATTTTATAGAGAACCACTATGCAGGAATCACTCACTGTCCTTCTATCATTATATGCTTTGATTTTATAATCACTAGTGAGGTACATTTTTCATATTTTTGCACACATAAGTGTATATTAGCAAAAGTGCAACATCTACAGCCTGGTGTTCTTGAGTTCTTTTGATAAATGTGTGTTATAGGAAATGTGTGTCATAGTGGATTCATATCTATACTAACACCTGCATTTTAAAAAATGTAGCATATATATGTACATAAAGAAAAAAATTAAGAAGTGTCTATTTATTCAGACATTATCTCATTAAGCTCAAACCAGTGTATACATTTCAACATGAAAGTTTGTTCATCAGGCCTATAATATTCATAGTCAGCAACTAAAAGAAATTATTGGATTAAAGTCCATAGGGAATATGCTAAAGATTTTTAAAAATAAAATATACTTTAAAATGATGCAAGGCTCATTTTACCCATTAAAAAATGTAGGGGAACAGCCCTTTCATCAAAATGTCTTAGAATCTGGGCACCATTGGCTCATGTTTGTAATCTTAGCTACTAAGGAGGCTGAGATCTGAGGTTTGGGTCTGACATCAGCCCAGGTAGGAAAGTCCCTGAAACTCTTATCTTTAGTTAGTCACATTAAAGCCAGAAGTATAAGCTGTGGTTTGAATGGTAGAGTGCCAGTCTTGAGCAAAATAAAAGCTCAGGGACAGCACCTGGGACCTGAGTTTCATACCCCAAGACATGCTTGCATGCGCGCGCACACACACACACACACACACACACACAGATTCTTAAAAAGTGAATATTCTTAAAAAGGTGAATACATATATAAATAATTCTTCTTGAAAATAAAAGATCTTCAAATATCTTCAAGAGTTTGTTTTTCTTAATTGCATTAGTGTTTGTCAACTCATCTAACAGTGGAAAGGGCATTTTGTTATGTTAAGGAATACCTTCGTGCAATTACTTTCTTTCGAAGCATAATCCTTGCTTTTTCCTCATATGAAAACATAATGTTACAAGGCCATAAGTAGAAGTACATGGAAAAATATCTTTTCTGTAAACAGTGTTTTGTCTAACCTGAGTCTATTTTCAGTTCTCTCAGTTTGAAAGAAGTCTTTAATCATCCTCATTGTTTTTACTGTTGACATAACTCCAGCTGTCTCGTCTGTGTTCTTCTTGTAAGATAGATTTGTATTGTCTTTTAAAGAAGCCAGCCTGAAAATAAAATGATATAAAACTGATGTACAGCTATGAACATACAATCTTCAAATCAAATATCGAAGCAATCAACAGCAAAAGTTCTCAAATGAAGTCCCAAGTAACATTAATTATGAAGCCTCTTAACAGGTGTAGTAAACAGCAAAAGTTAGTTTAGGTCACAAGGTGTTAAAGAGGCACTTTTGATGCTAATGTAGGACCTGCTAGTAACACATTTACTCTCTCCACCTCTGAATGAGCATTCAATAGAATGTGTAAAGTTTGCACAGTGCTTTTTTTTTAAAACAATGATATACTTCAAAGCTAGTAGTATAGTTTAAATATTTATTCAAAATAATTTTTATTTTTTCTAGTCAAACTTTGGTACCAAATTTAGAAGAAATACACCAATAGTACATATTCACTTTGAAATTTAAAAAGTTGAGCTACGTGCTGCTAGCTATTTCCTAGCTACTTAGGAAGTTGACATTTGAGGATCCTGGTTCAATGCCAGCCCAAGAAGAAAAGTCCAGGAGACTCATATCCATTTAATAAACAAAAACCATAAAGAGAGGTATGGCTCAAGAGATAGAGCACCAGCCTTGAGCAGAAAAGCCAAGCATGGTGCCCTGAGTTCAAATCCTAGTATTGGCACACACGTACGCACTCACACACTCTCTCTCTCTCACACACACACACACATACACACAAAGTTAACATTACAATATTGAAAATCTTAACAAATGACATGTTTAGTAGTTTAATACTCATTAATATAAAAGGCTCACCTTCCACATCACATATGAAATTAATAAAAGCACCAGGAGTCCCAGGAGCAAACTACTTGAAATGACTGCAATAGTGAAGTAGCGGTTGGGCCTCTGATGATGCAGTCCTTCCAGTGTCACCTGTGTGAAGGAAGTGAAGTAAGGAAACGCCATTTAAAAGCTTGATTATAATAATTATACCTAATTAAAATGCCATTCCTTTACCAGTTCAGAGCCATTTCCTTAACAGTTCAGAGCCATAAGAAATATTAGAATTCGTTTAGCAGAAACAGTGAGTGTGACAGGCTTTAACCATGGCCCTTTTATTCAATCTGCTGCATTCTTATTACAACCAGATTCACCTCCCTAAAAATCTAGATATTGTTCCCTCCCACCTGTTGTTGAAACTGCCAAGCCCCAATGGTTTAGTGACCTTTAATGACTCTGGTACACAAAAGGAAGTAATTATAAACACTCAGGATGTTTCCCATGCAGATTGTGTGTGCCATTTAAAAGAAACTTACATATGCAATGTTCTCATCCTTGTTTAGTTCAATGACTTTTGGATGTGGCTCTGGAAAAGCTGTTGCTCTTATTTCAAACTTGAGTGCTGAAGTATCATCCTGTTTTTCAAAAAGAGAACCATCACTGTAGCCCCAAATCATAGTTTTTATTTCATGAAGACATGTGAATAGAAATAATTTATCATCATCTTTATCTACGATCTAGATGTTTCCTTAAGCTAATTCATTTGTGATTAACTGCTTTTCAAAGTTTCCTTAGGTTGCAAAATTACCTATACATAATTTCACTAAAATCCTTTTGTTAAGCATTGCTGTGTTGTACATGACTTGATTTAAACTACTTGTCAGACCACAACATTACTAATGTAATGTTTTCCAGGGATATTAAATTTTATTCCCAAACAAGACTTGATCTGATAAAAACATTCCCTCACATCCATCTTCTTCAAGTTTTTGTTTCTTTCTAAATGAATACATAGGGTTTACTTAATAATCTGTAATCAAATTCTAATGTAAGATGTCAGGGTTTTTCTACCTAAAGTGAGTAGTTTAGAACTCAGAACCCATGCAGTTTGGAATCTGTAGATGAGCTTCATAGGTTCAAGTAATGGTTAGACACATTTCCACAAGGGCATTTATTAGGATGGTGAGAACATATTCCATACTTAAGCTCTTAAAGAAGACTGTCAGCTGGGGACTGATGCTTCATGCCTGGAATAGCTACTTAGGAGGCTGAGATCCAAAAGATTTTGTTTTGAATCCAACCAGGTACAAATGTCTGCAAAAAGCAGGGCTGGAGGCATAGCACAAGTGTTAGAGAGTCACTGAGAAAGCATGCTGAGTGGGTTCAAATCCAAGAATTCCAATACTGTCCAAAGTGAAAGAGACAGAGAGAGCACAGGGGAGGAGCACTTTACAATCCTCAAAAGTTAAAAACTACTCTTTAAAATAAGTACTAGGGAGCTGGGAAGGTGGCTCAGTGGTAGAGAGCTTGCCTTGCATGCATGAGTCCCTGGGTTCGATTCCACATAAACAGAAAAAGCTGGAAGTGGCACTGTGGCTCAAGTGGTAGAGTGCTAGCCTTGAGCTGAAGAGCTGAGGGACAGCGCCCAGGCCCAGCATTCAGGCCCCATGAATGAAAAAAAAATGGAAATGGGTACTTGCAGGGTGGTGAAGAAAAGGAAGGTAGGTAGAAGAATGAAGTGGGTAAGATGCAGGCAAGAATTCATTATATATACCAGAGAAATGAGAAAAATAAGGAAGGGGAGGTTGAAGAAGGCTGAAGATATTGAAGAGATGATATAGATCAAGATGCATTATATACATAAATGTCTTTGTTAAATGGCAGAAGAAAAAACATACAATATATAACCTTAAAATTAAGAAAAGTGAGGAAATGTGTACATTGGGAGGGGTTGCAGAGAATGTTGAAAGGGGTAACACTGACAAAGATGCACTATATTCACAGACTGCTTTGTTAAATGACAACTCTCTTGTGTAACTACTCAAAGATAATAAAAATGTTTAGAAAATGAACAAAATGAATGTGCAAAGATTATTAGACATTTTAGACCTGGTAATAGATTTCAAGAATAGTACTTTTTTTTTTTTCAGTGAGGAGGGTGTTTCTCCTAAGGAAGAGCCCACAGTGTTTAGAGACATCTTTGTTGTGATTTGGAGGGTGGTCCTAGTAGCATCTAGTGTGGCTTCTGAGTGTGCTGTTAAATGCCCTACAAATGCACATGGCAGCCACTGGCAACAAGGAGTGATCTGGTCTGAACATGTCCATAGTTTGCCCATGTTGCCAACCTGGACCTGGGAGTATGACATGGCAAACTTCTAAAGGTCTCATGACTTCCTGATGGTTCCTGACTTTTCAAAGTTTTAATTAACATGGACATCTCTTCTTTTTGCCTGATTGGCCTATCTTCCCTTTGATTTTTCAGCTGTGTTTTCCTTTGTTTTACAATATACCATGAACTAAGTGTAAACCAGGTTCATCCCATGTAGTATGCAACATCACAGAGACACAGAAAGAGACCTTATCCATACTGAAAGCATGGGAAAACTGGAAAACAACTTGTGATAAAACTAGTCTCACCTCAAAGTGCTCTTCATAAAAATATGTGCTCCTTTTATATTAAGTTTAATTTAATGTTGCAAAGTTCATGAAGTGTTTTTAATCATTTTATTATTGTTGATGAATTTTGATGTTTTAGCTCAATTTTGTGAATGATTTCCTTTAACTTCATAGCTTTATTTTTAAAATATTAGATCTTTTAAAGCTGTGTGGAAACAATTTTAAGGATAAAGGATGATCCAATTCAGCGTAAAACCCACTAGACACTATGCTGGAAATGAACTATGTAACTTGGTGGGGGGGGGGAAGGGAGTTTGGAGGGGAATTTGGGGGAGAATGAGGTAGGGGGGTGATACTATTCAAAAGGAAATGTACTAATTACCTGACTTATGTGACTGTAACACCTCTGTACATCCCCTTTACAATAAAAATTTAAAAATCTAAAAAAAAAATAAAAAAAAAGAAAACAAAGAATTTTAAGGTTCTATAAATAAGCCAGTCAACTTCTTTGATTTCATTAATGTTCGTAATCAATTTGACTTTTTGAACTAAATAACAATTATTCCATATTCCTTATTTTAGTTTTCAGATGAAGTGACATATGGAAATATAATTTGAGTTCTATTCCAAACTTTTACTTTTTCCTTTACAATTTGTGGAATGTTTTCCTGTAATCTTGACTATATAAGAAAACTGAATTTATAGATTGGATATGAACTCACCCATTCTAAAAAGTTGCTAAGATATTTTGGACTCACCATTTCCAAAATGGAGGACCGACCTTCCAACTGTATGTGAACACTAGCTTCTTTCCCACTTTCCATTCTCCCCAAATTGCACAAGAAATTCAAACAGTACAGATCAGTATTCATGCAATACTGGAAAACAATGTAAAAATACATTAAAATTTCAACATCAAAACAAAATTTAAAAAAAATTACACACCTAAAATATATCATTTATGGAAACATAGGATTAAATATCTGCTTTCCTTTAGAGGCATTTCAAAACTATCTTGTTTAAATAAATCCCCAATTTTTTTTTTAACAAATGTTAACTGAAACAAGGTGGTCAAATTGGAACATGTATTCTCATCTTTCTTACTAACTTAATAAGGAAGAGTCTAAGCCCAGTCTTGGAAAATTACATGTATTTTTTGTACCTAACAATAATTTGAAAATTTGATAATTTGACATTCTTACTTCCCATAAAATAATAAACACACTAAGATAAAAGAAAGTTAAATTTATACTATGTAACAAAAGCTTTACAGGTGAGTTGGTGTCCGGAGGATTATTGAGTGAAATCAGGATATATATTCAACATTGTCTCTCCACTTGTCCAGTTATGCTTGTCCCTTACACATAGGAATGTTCCTAATCTTGTGTTCTCTCTTACCAATCACCTGACAGCTCAAACCCATTGGTTTTTAAGTGTTTCACTTCTCTGTTGGAAAGCTAAAACAACTGGAAGAATTGAAACATACCAATAGCCTCTTATCAGTCTTTGACAAAAATTTGAAAATGTTTCTCAGAGCCTCCATTGTTCCTTTCTCCTGCTTTGATGTGCACTCTCTTTCGTAATTGTTAAAGGAGCATTGTCCAGCAGTTGTCTAAAGACAGAAAGCAACAAAAGTATTACTATGTAACACATGGAAGATCAAAAGCAACATGGTTTTAAAAGTTCTATTTGCTTATTTTCTCCTAAAACTTGTCAGGTATCTAAAGTTGTAAAAAAAAAAAAATTCCTGACAGACATCTGGAAGAGACTGAATCTCTGTGACAAAAGAGGAACAAAACCCCACTAAATTTTCAGAGAGTAAGATATAGGTCATAAGCTAATAGGATGGACTTAATTTTACAAACTTATGAGAAATAAGAGAAAAGACATTTGGACTTTAGCCTGAAATGAACATTTTTTGGCTTATATGCAAAACAAAATGATACTGTTTTCTACACAAATGATTATCTAAATCTGAAATTCAATTTAGGCTTTAAAAAATCACATAAAAAACTTAGGTAAATTTGTGACTGATTTTTCTTCAAAGGAGGAGGCAAAAAGAATTGTTTTGGACAAGCACAAGAAAAGTGATTTATAAATAATGATTGAAATATTGCTTTCCTTAAGATAAGCTCTATTTCTAATCTTTAAATAGTGGGTTCCACTATTTATGGGATAGTCTACCAACTAAATTACTTCCACAGTAATGGAAAGAAGATATGTCCTAAAATAATAACAAAAATGTGTCTGTCCTATGATACAAAATATCACAAAGAAGATGGATCCTAAAATAATGGCTCAATACCAGTAGAAAATAAAGTTTTATTATTGTATAAATTAAATGAAGAAATTTCACTGCTATGTTTTTGGTCAGTTGTGAGGCATAAACTCTGGGCCTGGACGCTGTCCCTCAGCTCTTCAGCTCAAGGCTAGCGCTCTACCACTTGAGCTACAGTGCCACTTCCCGCTTTTTCTGCTTATGTGGTGCTGAGAAATCGAACCCAGGGCCTCATGCATGCAAGGTAAGCACTCTACCACAGAGCCCCAAGAAATTTTACTGCTATTCTACAGACTAAAATAATGTATAAAAATATACTCAACAAATTCATAGTGAGCAAAATCTAAATCAGCAATCATTATTACCTGGAAAAAGGATTGGTTTGTATTTGTTTTAGTATTTAAGACACTGCTAGTGAAAATCAACTAGAAGGAACCTGGTTTTACCTGGACATCTAGAATGTTGAACAATTTATCCGTCTGAGGGGCAAAAGAATTTGGTACCATTATTTCCACACTAACATTTGGAGCCATGCTAATGCCGGTGTTGATAACCTAATAAAAAATGAAAAATTCACAAAAATAAGTACTGAAATTCATAAACTTTGAGGTGACCATTCAAAAGTGGAGATTTGCTACTGGAAACTAGAGCAAAGGGAGAGAGCATCTATAGTTAGAATTTTTAAGGTTTGCTAATAATCTTAAACTCTTGTAATTCTTCTTAGCCTTTTTCATGTGCTTTTTTCAGTTAAAAAGTCTACAGTGAAAAAGAACTATACAACATATAAGTGGGGAGGGGAGAAAAAAACTGGGAGAGAGCAAAAGAAGGGGTGCCTTGTCCAAAAAGAAATGTAGTTTTTATCTAGCCTATGTAACTTTAACCATTTTGTACATCACTTTCATAATAACAATAAAAAATTAAAAACTCTACAATGAATTATTGTAAAACTAGTTTTAAGAAATTATATATACTCAGAACATATTCTAGTTTTAAGCAATCATTTTAAGACTAACAACATACACTCATATTCCATAGTACACATTTTAAAACCCAACCAGTTGGTCCTCAAACCTATTCTACGGAGTGGGTCAATATTTTAACATTCACCAAATAAAGCAAAGGCTAATAGGTGTCTCTATTATTCCTAAGAAAGTTGAGAATGGCAGGACCTGAATTCTTGGTGCTCTAATTATAAATATGATAATATTTTCACAAAATCACTCCAAATTGAGAGGATACTCATGAGCAATATGAGAAGAATAACTTCTCTTTCATTCAGTTGAATTATAAGGCTTACACATTCAGAAAAAAGGGAAAGGAGCATATTACTGGGTCTTCAAGCAAAATGGCAGGATCTTAATAACACTTTGCAAAGTCAATGAAATAAACTTGGGGCATTCCAGATCTCTAAAAGCAGAGATCTGGGACAAATATTACCCCCAGATATTGGCTTTTTTATAACTCTAAAGCCAATGCAGAGTCAGAAAAGAATTGTCACAAAACCTAAATGAGAAAAAGATGATTCACAGACCTGTGGTAATCTGAGTGTGCCAGATTGAAAGTGCCTCTCAATTTAGGATGAGAAGTAACTGGTCGGCCACTGAGGGAGGCAGCAAGCAGTTACAGAGTGGAATGTCAGCAATGGGGTGGGGATGGGGAGGGGTCCATTAGAGCTCTACATATGGGTCTTCCTGAGACCAGTAAATATGGAGTCTAAATTGCATTTACACTTAATCAATGATCACCCAGTAACCTCTAGACTTCCAGGGACATTTAAGAACTAGAACAGAAATTGCAAATTTCTCCAGCTTAAAGCACCCCATCTGACATTAATTAGAAGATATCTGACTACTAATTATAAAGTAATTAATAGGCCTCTTAAACTTCCAGCAGCTTAGATTTTCATTTTAGTTTATCAAAGCACAAATCCCCACTGTTTTCAAAAAAGTTCTTCTTGGGTTTTCAAAGTGGAAAACTAAAAATTTTCAACATTCCATATGTACTAGTCTAAAAAAAGCTGTAGTGGCTATGAAATCAATAGGATTTAAAGGTTATTTTTTCATAGATCTAGGTCAGAGTACAAACATTTGAACTTTGAATAGGTACCCCAGTGATTCTAATATACCTTTGAAAACCATTATTTTACAAAATGTCACATCTAATCCAATACTTACATGCTATATAGAAAATTAAACAACTTTAAGAATGCACAATGCTTTTGATTCAAAAACAAATCTTTTATGTATCTTAATGTTTTTTTGCACTTATAAGATTATCTCTTTGTTGCTTGGTATGTCCTCCCCGACAGTATAACCTCTGCTTTCACTATATTTGATGTCAGTATAACTTGAGGAGGAGATGGGGAAAAACCAGTTGTTTAAAGATACAGGTGGACCTGTTGCAACAATGAGAAGTACAAGTTGTCATGTCCAAAACGAGCTTTACAACGTTGGTGGGGGGGGGAAGGGGGGGAAGGAGAAAGATTGGGATTGGGGGGGAGGGGGGAGGCTGGGAAGGGATGTGAAGGGTAAACAAAAGGAGGAGGCTGCAATGCTTGGTAAGAAATGTATGCATTATCCTGCCCATGTAATTGTAACCCCTCTGTACAGTATCTTGAGAAATAAAATAAAAAAAAAGAAAAAAAACCAAATCTTTTTATAGACATTATCTCTTAACACCTGAAAGACAACCAGATTCTAACTTAACAGGATTTTCTAAAGAAAACTATCTCAACTTGTATCTTTGTTTGAACATTTTGTTATTTCCCTTCCCCTCCTCAAATTAGAAAAAAAAATGTATATACAAGATGCAGGGTATCAGAATCAAATACAGTGACACCCAGGGCTATAACATGGGGGAAGAACATACCAAAGAAACAAAAAAATCACATAGTACATTAAACACAACAGCAACAAAGAAGAAAACCTCTTGTGTCCCTATCTTGGGGTTCATTTCACTTAGTATCTTCTTATATGGTCATACATACATACATAGCTTTTGACCTTTTCTGCTTGTCAGGTAAGATTATCCTAGATGTATATTAGTTATTGCAAATAACGGAAACCATGGGACCTATGTTTCTTTGGCTCATTGTAACAGGGTGATGTACAAGACACTATGTTGAAAATGAACTTTACAGCATTGGTGGGGGGTGGGGGGTGGAGGGAGGGACTAGGGAGATAGGGAGGGAAAGGATAGTAGGGAGAAAAAGGAGGAGATAACAATGCTCATAGGAAATGTACTCATTACCTTACTCATGTAACAGTAACCAACCCCTCTGTACAGTATCTTTACAATAAAAATACATAAAATAAACTTTATCTCAGTATATAATACTCCTAGGTCATTATAGTGTTCTTTATTTGTTAAAACATTATTCAATAATTGATCACGTTGTCCTAATTCAGAAACCTATAGCTTGCAAGACTGGACAAGTCAACTCTAAATGGAGAGAAGGAAAAAAAAATCTTCCCTTACTTTGTAATGTCTGGGCTATTATAGAGCTGGAAACAACTAGAGATTTCTCAGGTTTCTGCCAACAGAGTTTTCTCTCAGCATATCTGCAAGATTGTCATCAGATTTAGCTCATCTTATAACTCTGCTTGTTTCTGACACTACCTCTGCTCTGCAGGATCCACATATCCTGTCATATGGGGTGGGCTTGCAGACCAGGGACAAGAGAAATAGGGGAAAGCAATAGGTGGAGAGGAAAGGGCCTGATCCCCAACACAACAGCCCCCAATAACTCATGGTTGACAATAAATCATGGTCTGTGGAGGCCAAGTTACATGGCAGGGATGCTAGCAATGCATCAGAATAAACTTGCCAGTTTTTACAAATACCAACACAAACAACTTTTCTTACATGGAAAGTGAAGTTCATTTTCTCTGCCATACATGTTTCTGGCTCATTGTCTTCATTTGATCCGTACACAAATGAAGTTGGATTCACAAAGCTGAAAGGAACAAAATCAGTTAATTATTTTTTCCCTCATTTTTCTCTATTTGTTTGTGCCAGTCCTGGGGCTTTAATTCAGGACTTGGGTGCCGTCTTTGAGCTTTTGTGCTCAAGGCTAGTGCTCCACCACTTGACCCACAGTTCCATTTCTGGTTTTTTGGTGATCAATTCGATATGAGTCTCATGGACTTTCCTACCCCAGTTGGTTGCAAACTAAGATCTTCTGATCCTAGTCTCCTGGGTAGCTAAGATTTACAGACATGAGCCATAGGCACCTGGCCTTAAATGTCTTTTTAGACATGGTACATGGTATTTATAGCATTTTTAATAAACTCTTAAAATACCTTAAGTTTCTTAGAACTTTACTGAAAAAGTAAGAAAATTACAAGGTCACATGCTCTGACTTGAGTGATAATGTTCCTTCTCACCAATACTTTCTTCTTTTATTTATACCTTCCCCTCATCTGCCCAGTTCATTTTTTTCTGACATTTCTTTCCCTTTGAGCCCTTAAATGACTCACAGAGTTGGCAACTGTGGGAAAAATCCTATGGTTTCCCCAAATGATGTTGTACTTTAAACCCAAGGTCTGGGGAACAATTAAAAAACCAATAGGGATGATAATTAAACAACAACAACAACAACAAAATTACTTGGGCACTGGTGGCTCACACTTGTAATCCTAGCTACTCACGAGGCTGAGATCTGAGGATCACAGTTCAAAGCCAGTCCTGGGGAGGAAAGACCATGAGACTCTTATCTCTAACTAAGTACTAGAAAATTGAAAGTAGTACTGTGGCTCAAGTAGTAAAGTCCTAGCCTTGAGTGAAAAAGCTCAGGAGCAGTGTTCAGGCCCTGAGTTCAAGTCCCATGACTGACAAAAAACAAAACAAAACAAAACAAAAAAAACAAGAAAAGAAAATGAGATCGTAATTGTTTTTAACCTTAGACAAATAGGTGGTTAGTAATGAACATTGAGGAATGCTTTTCTGAGGAAATCCTACTCTCTGCAGTTTTATATTAGGCAGATAAAATTAGACAATACCCAACTAGGCACTCATAATAAATAGTAATGAACTTTGAAATAATCAAATGGCATATGTATTTATGAAATATGTATATGCTATATATATGTTTATGTATACATGTATATAGTTACAGACATTTTGTGCACTAAATAATGAGATGTGAGTAGTGGAAAAACAGATTTGTCATCATGGGAAAATCAAGGAAGGGAGAAGAGAAAAATATTCAAAACCAGGAAACATGCAACTGCCCTTTCATTTATATATATACTGATCATTGAGGTCTTGACACATTCTGTCCCATTATAGCTTATTGATGAGCAATCCATCAGTTTCAGATTCTGACAATTTATGTAATTGTTTGCTTGTTTGCTTTGTGGTACTAGAATTTGAAATCAGGGCCTTGAACTTTTGAGGCATGTGCTCTACCACTTAGGACATTCCTCATGCCCTAAATTTATATAATTGTAAGCCAACTTCATGGGCAGCTAAACTGATGGGTGTTTATATTTAGAACAATGAGAAAAATACTTTTCCATTTTGGTTCTGTATCTCTGCTCTTCTAAGGCTTAAAAATGTATAAACCAAGAAACATAGCCTGAATAATGGGCATTTTCTTGAACCTCTTTTCATTCTTTCTGCATCCCTCTTTTTTTAATACATTTTTATTGTAAAAATACTGTACAGAGGGGTTACAGCTACATGAGTAAGGTAATGAGTACATTTCCTATCAAGCATTGATGACTCCTCTTTTGTTTTTCCCCTACCATCCCTTCCTTCCCCACCTCCCCAACTACTTCCCCTCACCTCCTCCTACCTCCCCAACCCTCCTCCCATTGAAGTCCCCATGGTATAACTCCTGTTTTCACTGTATTTTATTTCAGTGCCCTGCACCTTATATATAAATTTTTTAATTTAGGGAAGGGAAAGAGAAAAAACAAAATGCTTAAATAGGGATACAGATTGACCCATTGTAACAATGAGATGTTCAAGACACTGTGTTGGAAATGACCTTTGCATCCATTGCTTTGAATCACAACTGGATCCATTAAATGATTACTAAAATCCTGAGGAAATTATGGCAGAATTCAACAATCTCATGAGTTTCAAAAGCAGACAGGGACACCTGTAGTCAGCTCTGTCATGTCTCAATCCATTTTCTATGTAGGTTAGGTATGTGTTCTAAGGAGTGTGAATTTGGCTGTGCTTGTACTTCTTTGAACTTTACTGCACATTGCATAACTCTAGTGCCTCTTGATTGTTCAGTGTACAACTGGAAGGCTGTGTCCTTCTAGGAATTTATTGGGGCTGTTCTAACTACCTGGACATGAATTTGATGTGGTATCAGTGGTGATTACAGAGAGGATTAAAATAATGAGCAGCTAGATGTAGGCTGGTAGCTCACAGTTCTAATCCTAGCAATTTAGGAAACTGAGATCAGAGGATCAGTTCAAAATCAAACTAGATAGGAAGTTTGTAAGACTCTCATCTCCAATAAAATACCAAAGAAAGTCAGAAATGGAGCTTTGGCTCAAGTGGTAGAGGGTTAGTCTTGAGCAAAAAACTCTGTGACAGCACCTAAACCCTGAGTTCAAGCCCCAGGACCTACATGAATATAAACCCCAAATGGGCAGCTAAGCAAGGAACTACAGAGTGAGACAATATTTTTTAAGTATGTTTCTTACATTAATGTAAGAATCAATGAAATCAGCTCTAAACTTTATGGAATCGCTTGCCTCTACTTACCCATGAACACTTAGCATAACTTCATATCTTAAAGGTATTGCTAAAGTCACTGTATTATCCTTTAGGTCATCCAATTCTTCATTTTCACTGCAGAATCAGATAGAAAAGAGTCTGTTAGGATAGTTTTAACACACACACAAACTCATCAGAAGGAAATAAAGACATGTCATGCATACCTAATTGAGGTTTGATTAATGCTTTGCGAGGCAGTGATAAAAACAGATGTGGCAGTAAGAAGTTTTAAAGAACAGGATTGGTAGATTTATTCTCATTATTTAAGTTGTTATGTGTGTCTAATGTTGGTTTAGAAAAAAACAATTATAGAAGGGAAGCCTTTTTCTATAGAGAATCAATGAAACACAGCTTCATGGTTCCTCCCCAAATCTCTCAAAATACAGAGGTGTGTTTCTTCAAATACATTATTTTTCCCCCACAATGAACAGTACCAGGAGGTATGCACTGTGATGTTGAGGTCCTCTTCTGCTTTGTGGAGGGAGCTCACATCCAGGAGAAAGCTAATATCTGTCTGCAGAACACAAACAAAAGGTTCATTTAAATAACAATCTAAATTGCATTTTCTTTTGTAATTTGCTTTTTAGTTTTTCTCTATAGTTCTTCCTCCTCCCCACTAAGGAACAGAATTGAAGCTATCGTATTGGTGTAAGCTACCATCTCTTACTTGGCAATGAGACACAGGGAAGCTTTTGGGTTTGTGGCAATTTGAACATGCAGGCATTTCCACAAGTCGCATTCAGAGACAAAGCTTTCTCTGAAATGTGAAGACAGGCAGGTCCAGACGGACAAAATTAGAGATGCTTTAACAACTTGACTAAGGACTCTTGCCAAAAACACCTTTTTGTATAGCAGAGGTAACATGCCTGGCAGACAGGGCCACCTGGGGTGGGGTGGGGGAAGTGTTGGGGAAGACTGAGCAGACAAGCAGAATTCTGATTGACACATTCACTTGCCCCTCTCAACAGAAGCACCCCTGTCCCCTGAAGGCAGTGAGCAATGCCAAGAATCTAAACGCAAAGCTCAAAGATTTCAGGATGACTTGTGTTTGCTTTCATTGTACCATTTCGCTACATTCTAAGTACACTTTTTTCAGTATAAAGGTAGGTAAATGAAAATCATAAATACTAAATACATACCCTTGAGAGATGATCTACATATATATAACCAACACTACAGTCAAGTTTTACTGTTCCAGAGTTGCCTGTTACTTCACAGTTTATTTGTTTTTCTTCCTAAAAGGAAAAAATAAAACAATTGGGTTGAGTAGAAGAGAGAAATAAATTTATAACATGAATATGGTTCTTAAGAAGAAAGTCATTCTAGAAGTATTTTCTTTCCTAGGAAACCATTTTCTATTTGGTCTGGGGATATGAAAAGTAGAAATACAAAAGAATTTAAATATATGTGCACATGTGTATGCTAACATTCATGCAAATCCTCCATAAAAATCCCTTATAGTTTATTCTCACTTTGTGTATTTCTTAAGCTAAAAGCTAATCCTTTGAAAAACCAGGATATAAGGAATGTGTTGGTGCCATACTTCATTCTTGTTCTCATTATGTGAAAGTATGTTGCAAGGAATTTAATAAAAATAACTGTATTTGGGGCTAGGAAGGTGGCTCAGTGGTAGAGTGCTTGCCTTGTGTGCATGAGGCCCTGGGTTCGATTCTTCAGCACTGAATAAGCTGAAAAAGCCGGAAGTGGCACTGTGGTTCAAGTGGTAGAGCACTCTCCTTGAGCTGAAGAGTTGAGGGATAGCGCCCAGGCCCCGAGTTTGATACATGACCAACAAAAACAAAACAAAACAAAAACAAAAAACCCGACAACAACAACAACAAAATTTACAATAGGTGTACTTTAAATATATTCTTTGAACACCTGGAGTTTCACTTCTTTGGGAACAGATTCCCAATGGTCCAGATAAAAGGGTTAATAGGTATTAGTAAGAGGTCAAGGCCTTTCTCAAGTGCCCTTGGTGTAAAAAGATAGTCTCTGTAACCTGGGTAATTTGGCTAAGGGATGTAGAAAATCTCAAACGAGAAACAAATGGATGCTTTTCTCATTGAAACTCAAGCTTCCTAATATTTCATTGATGGATTTAAATACCTGCAAAAAGATATTGTGGAAAGAAAAATTTCTAAGTGCTCTAGGCTCTGTGGTCAAAGCAAAGCTTGACTAACACCTAATGTGAGAGCTGGACATCAGCAGTGATGGATGATGACTGGTTCTGATGTACTGAATGTTTCGGAAAAGAGGACTAAAAGGTGAGCTTAAAACAAAGAGCAGTAACTCCAGATATAGAGGACTAATATTGTTCAATGTAAGGATTCCCACCAAGCATGTGAGGAAGGAAGGCAGCCAAACAGTCCTCTCTTTCTAGCCCTGGGGAGCAGGGAACCGATGCCTTTGCGCTTGGATACTAAGGGACTTATTTTTTTCTGAGCAGAGCCATGTAGAAGTCTCAAACTAATTGGAGGCCTGATGAATAAGTCTAAATATTGATGTATACTCCAACGATTTAAAACCCCCAAATGGCATAGGCAGAGGGCAAATGAAGTATATTATTTACAGTTCTTAAAAAATTAAATGAAATCTAAGAAGCTTATGATATTATTGTGTACAGAACCTACCAGGTCTAAAATCTTAATGAAGTAAAGCCCTGCAGGTAGCTTGACTCGAAGAGAAGTCTCATAGGCATCGTCTCCGCCATTAAACAGAGACACGTTCAACATCAGCGTCTTCATGCTCCCAAGAGCAAGGTAGGTTTTATTTTCATATGGCCTATAAAAGAAGTAATATTATTTAATTCATATTTAGAAAATATAATTTCATATCCATATACATATAGTATTTATAGTGATCATAAAATATTTAGACAAACAATACCCATGGGTATGACCTCATGCAAACAGGATCATATTCATATTAAAAGGATTCAATATTTAAGATAAATTTAGTCAGATATTGCCAAATAAAGCTTTTTTTAATTAGTTAAAAATGAAATGGGGGGCTGGGAAGGTGGCTCAGTGGTAGAGCGCTTGCCTTGCATGCCTGAGGCCCTGGGTTCGATTCCTCAGTACCACATAAGCAAAAAGAAAAAAGCAGGAAGTGGTGCTGTGGCTCAAAGGGTAGATTGTTAGCCTTGAGCTGAAGAGCTGAGGGACAGCGCCCAGGCCCAGAGTTCAGGCCCCATGACTGGACCCCCCAAAAAAAATGAAATGGTCTTTCTATTTTTACTACTTTTCTGCTTAACTGTAATCTTTTAACTTATCTTCAAGTAGGTCTACAAAGGAATGGCTGTTCATCAATGCTGTTTATGAATGCATCTTGATCAATGTTACCCCTTTCATCATTCTCTCCATCCTTCCAAACCTCACCCCTTCCCTCAATTTTCTTAATTTTGTAGGATATGCACTGAATTGTAAGATTCTCCTTCCCATTCCTGTCTTCATTCATCTACTCCTCTTCCCTTGAAACTTCCCCCCATTTCCAGTACCAGATTCCTAGTATTTATTTTGTTAGATTGAGACTTAGCCTTTCTAAGGAATTTCTCTGTCCGTTAACTCTATAATGTTAACCTTTTGTTATTTTGCAATGTTTTCTAGAGATAAAGCACTTTCTCTTTTTCTCCTAACCAAATGACTAAAAAGGAGGGAACTTGGAGAAAACTGGATGAAAAAATAGGGAACATTGTGCTTAAAGTGAAGAAAATACGGAGAGGATAGGACATACCAGCAAGTAAGAGACATAAGAATCTATGCACCCACAATTAATTTTGGAAACAGGATGGCTCACCACCTTTATCAAAAATTAGGCCAAATTATACAAACAGAATTGCAAAAATGACTCTGTTGAGGAATTGCAAAGAAAGGATTGTTGCAAATTCAGATGAGTGAGTTCAGATCCTAGAACTGCAACCAGTTCTTTGGGGTGAGGAGTCTCAGCATTGCTAAGCTTTGAGTATCATATATACATATACACATATATATATATTAATGACAAGATTACTGTTCAACAAAAATTATAAATTCACAATATGGAATCCTCACAATGTTTTAAATGCGAGGAACTTTAAGATTGAAGGAACTTGCTCTAAGCCACAGCAAGACTGTTCTAAAGCCTGAAAGCAATTTCCCATGGAAATACCAAGTAAACACAGAAGAGGCATGTAATAATTTCTTGGGAATGACTAAACACAAAGGTATCTAAGGGTAGTTTAAGAACATGTTGCAGAAGATTTGCTTTGAAGCACTACTTGAAGAAGTGGGAATGAATGGCTATAATTGAAATTTTCTGTACAATATATCAGGTGCTATGCACTCCCTCACATCCACATAGCTAAAATGCATTTCACTCTCTCATAGAGAAGGTCAAGGACAGAATTACAGATAAATGTAAACAAACATTGTAAATACATGGAAGGATTTATGAACAAAGAGCTCTGGAGACCAGAGAAAGGGAACCACATTTGCCTGGAAGTGATAAAAGCATATTGTTCTGTTTCTATTCCTCTGATTATTTAGCTTAGCTTCACCAAAGAAAATCTTTTTGTTATTTTTTTAAGTCTGAAAATGTCTTAACAGACCTTGAGTTAACATGTATTATACCCCAATTTATTTGCTTTAAATATATGTTATCTCCCACAATCCAATCATCACACTGCTAAAGGCTCATCTTCAACAAAACAGACCAAAGTCACACACTTGAACCAGATCTTCCAGGGCCTTGAAGATAAGAGTCCTTTCTTTTTAGAACCTGAGGCCTTCAAGGGCTGGCCCTTGCCTCACTCTCCACCATACAACTATGTCTTTGGTTTAGCCATTGCCTCCAAACTGGTGTCCAAAGAGATGGTGTTAGGTTTTCCCTCTGCCTTAACACCTTCTCTTCTTCATGCACCTTCCTAATTTGTGCTCTTGAATATTTTGCTTCAATGCCAATAACACTTAAAAGTTCTTCCAGCCTGTACTAATTTCTAACCACTTGCACCATGTACTGCTTTCTTCCCCACCACATTAAGCCTCACTCTGTGTGTGTCTCTCTCTGTCTCTCTCTTGCTCTGTCTCTGTTTCTGTCTGTCTCTCTGTCTCTGTCTCTCTTTCCAACACTGCTGCCTCTTCAATGCAGTGTTTTCATAATGTCAAACTAAGTTTAGTTGGAGGATAGATGTTGGATCACCATTATCATGGTTTTCTCAGAGTCTAACAACACAGGTAATGTACAAAAATGTGTATGCATAAGTGTGTACATGCTCACATGTGTATCAAGCATCAAAAAAAAGAGCTGGATTATACTGAAGACATATAAAAGGTAGGAAATTATTGACTTAAATGTTTGTGGAATTATCAACATGAATTCAATAGAATTATGGCTGGACAGTCATATTTATCTCTTCTGTGAGTGTACAAAGATTTCTAGTGTTTAGCTAAGATCCAGTCAAGGTCTAGACACATAACATGTGCTGGTGGTTAAGGTTGACCTCGAATTCATGATCCATCTCCCTCAGGAGCTGAGATTATGGTCAGGTAACACCTTTCCAAGTTCCTTTCTACTTTATTCTGAGAATAAAAGCTTCAATACTTTAGATTTGACTTGCTGGAAGCACTTATCTCAGAAGCCATACAGCATTATAGAAAGTGTCCTCCCACTTCAATAGTTTTTGGCAGTATTAAGTATGAATTTAGGCTCTTATATTTGCATTACCACTTGAGCCATGTCCTTGGCCCGACTTTCTTTTAATAATTATTCAAGTAGCTTCTCACACATTTGCAGGGCCAACCTGGCTCATTATTATATTACCTATTGCCTGCCATGTAGCTTGGAATACCAACATACACAGCCTCCATGTATTGTTGATTAAGTGAAATCTTACCTTCTGCCAAATCTGACCTTAAATTATGATCCTGCAGTCTTCATTCTCTGAATAACTGGGATTAAAGCAAGAGTCACCACATCTGGCCTCCTCTTGTTGTGTGTCTCTCTTTGTCTGTCTCTGTCTTTCCCTGTCTCTCTGTCTCTCTCTGTGTATGTGTGGTGTGTGTGTGTGTGTGTGTGTGTGTGTGTGTGTGTGAATACTAGGGCTTGAACTCAGGGCCTTGGCACTATCCCTTTGCTTTTTCTGTTCAGAGTTGGTGCTCTATCACTTGAGTCATAGCTCTATTTCTGGCTTTTTGGGGGGGAGGGATACAATTAATTGACAAAAAATAGACTCGTGGACCGTCCTGAATAGGCTGGCTTCAAATGGGGACCCTCAGATCTCATCCTCCTGAATAGCTATGATTACGGTATGAGTCACTGGTGCCTGGTCTCCTCCAGTTTTTTTTTAATACCTCTGTAGCACTCCAGATACGAAAGAGAAATAAATAATACTTTGATGTGTACCATCTTTAGCTTTCTGATAGTTGGGTCTGAAAAGTTGGAAAGTGATGGAAGAGCTTGTAATAACAAACCAAGCAGTCATTCTAAATGCTGGCTGTCCTTTAGGTGTGTTAATGAGAGTGGTTGGTTGTGTGCTACCTTCACATTGAAGGAACTGCTGTGATATTGTAGTGAACTAGGTCAATAGGTGTCTGCTTGGTAATCATGTTAAAGGGAAATGAAGAACACAGCTGACCCCCCACACACCCCTACTCAGAATGTAATCACTTTACAATGAAAAAGACTTATGGGGTCCTCAATATAAACTTCAACCTGACATTAAAGTTTAATTAAGACTTGTAGAAGAGCTGCCTAGAAATAGACGTGTATAAAATATTCTGGCTGGTAACCAAAGCATTAGTCACTGAACACCTTTGGGAAAGAAGCTGGCACTTAGTCAAGCAACAGAAGGAGGAAGCACTGCAGACACAGCCAGGTTCCAAGACAGCAGTAAATTAGAGAGAGCCAATGCTCTCGCTGCAACAGCCAGACTCCTGGTTTGTTTCTCATTTTTAAAGCTCTTTTGCTCCGCTGCCATCACTGAAATCCTGTCCTTTGAAATGTACATTTTACTGGATCTTGATTCATTAACAGATGCATCTGAAAGATGCACCAGTGTTCTATGTGACATACAATGAAGGACCAGGTGCACATCTGGACATGTGACAAAGTGAACCAGAGCTTTTCCTGGGATATGTCATTCATTCTTCATTAAAACATGCATAATGTAGATTTGAAATTTACAGAGAAGCCTAGGATCCACATTAAGGTCTTGTGTCTACACGGAGTCATCATTTAATGGATAAAAAAGAAAAAATTGAAAATGTATGTACTACAGCACCAGGCTCTATGTTTTCCTGAGTGAATAATACAGTTTTATTTTGCAAGACATGTTAGCTAAGTCTCAGTGAAATAAATAGCCTTGTAAGGGGAATCAGTGCTTCAGAGTTAACTGCTTTGTAATTCAGATGCTGGAATAAAAATATAATATAAACTGATATTGTCTTTCCCTGTGCTAAGTTATAAGATGTAGTTATTTGACAAAAGCATGGCCTGTGGCAAGTGGCCTGTGACAAAGTAAAATACTATCTTCTTATTTTTTACTATGGGTTGCAGCCATTTTTGTATTCATAAGGAAAATGTCAAAAGAACTAGAAGGAAGACAAGGATCACTGTTCATTCTTTGGTATCTTCTTACTAACTTACAACCCCTCTAGACTGCTTATTATTCTAAGTCAATTACTTTGTCATTTATTAGTCAAATACTATTAGTTGCAGTTGGAAGCATCCCTGAACTGTTGGGAAAGCAGTCTTTCAGGAAAAGCTGGCATCATTTATCCTAGAAGTAGGAAAGAGGCACAGAAGTAAAGTGTCATTTATGCCAAAAACAAAAGATTTGCTTTTAAGTTGCCTGTGTAATGGCCAAGACCAGTTATTCTATTCACAATCTTCATAAAGACATATTTGCCCATATTTACTTAACAGTGGAAATCCATGAATGTGCTTCGCTATCCTGAGTGTTTAGACATGCAGGCGGAAACCTCAACTTGATGGCAGGATTAGACAGAGTCAGGCAGAACCCTGCTTGGTCTTGGTGTTACAATTGCAGAGGCAAAGACTCTGGTTCTTTTTTTTTTTTTTTGCCAGTCATGGGGCCTGAACTCTGGGCCTGGGCACTGTCCCTTAGCTCTTCAGCTTAAGAGTAGCACTCTACCACTTGAGCCACAGCACCACTTCTGGCTTTTTCTGCTTATGTGATGCTGAGGAATTGAATGTAGGGCCTCATGCATGCAAGGCAAGCACTCTACCACTGAGCCACCTTCCCAGAATGAGACTCTGGTTCTTTAATGTGTAAATATATTCATAGATCCAGGACACATATGTACCCTGAGTGGCAGTGAAGCAACAGCTGGGAGAATTTGGGCACCATAAGGGGTCAGGTTCTCTCTTGTTGCTAAAAAAAGAGAGAGAATGCTCACATGTAAGAGGCATATTTCTGTAGGAGAGGATAATACGTCAAAATGCAAAGCAGTCTGTCCGAAGCTTTTACTGCAGGTCTGAAAACTTAATTGGAAGAGTCTCATTTGAAAGTTCCTAACACAAGCTATTGTCTACCTGAGAAAGAGCTTGTATAACTTTCCTAATTGATGTAAAAAAAATCCTTGGGCACAGGATTGGTGCAAGTGCTACTTCAAACATTCTGACTGACCGCTTACTGGGTCATGTTGGCATCAATCTAAAGGCATAAACCACACACAAAGGATGGGTGATGCTTAGAAAGTATTAATTTTGATTTTGGCTAAAATCAAAATTCATGATTGTTAAGTGACCCAACCATAATGTGCATTATTGCCCCCGATGGATACATTTCAAGACTTTAGAGCAGATAGTACCAAACCCTACATTATGTTTCTCTCTGTATATACATACCGATGACAGAGTTTAATTTGTAAACCAGACTTAGGAAGTAATTAACAATAATTAATAAAAATCAAAAACTTAAAAACCAAAGGCTTAAAACCAAATACTTGGTCAACATTTCAACTCAACCTGTATTTACAACAAACCATGAGAAATACTGTCACTGCAAACTCACAGGACAAAATAGATAGTATTTTGGAAGAAAATATATGTTGGAAAAAAATCACCCCAGACCTCATTAAATTAATGAATTCCATCTCTTTTTGACTAAGATGTAAGCATTCTTAATAACATTTTCACATAATTTTTGATGTCTTTTTTCTCGCAGGCCAAGAGATATGAAAGATGAAAGATGGCCAGGGGGACAGCAGGCATATCTGATGTAGACAAATGAAATCACTGCCCTTAGCTTGGAAAAGCTTTCCTCACAAAACTCTTCATATACAGGACTATGGTGGCACACACACCAAGAAAGTATACATTTTAGAAAAAAATGTGTAAGCAGAAAATGTATAAATAACTAATACATCAATGAAAATGTAATGCTACATGATGGCACAGAATAATATAATTGTTAATGCTTTGGGGTTAAATAGTTAAAAATTTGTACATTTTAAGTATAAAGTACAATTATCTATCAAATAACTAATGGCTTGGCTTCTTGCCTCTTGAGCGTAGATGCTCAAGACCACTGATGTTGCCAAAGTGAAGAAAATTCATGAATGTTCTTCATTTATTCTCTGGCGTCTGTGATTCTACCTAGCAAGCTAGTCAACATTGTGGGTCAACCTTTATGCTCATTCCTAGTTTGTTGCCTGACTCATTTATCATGAGGCTCTTTAAATCTTCCAATGTTCTGTACTTCCTCAAACTGTCCTCTGCCCTCCATTAATGCAGATAAAATCTCTTTTTATATCAGTCCTTCATGAATTCTCTAAATCTTCCTTTTTCCCTCCCTCCCTCCTTCCCTCCCTCCCTCGCTCCCTTCCTTCCTTCCTTCCTTCCCTCCCTCCCTCGCTCCCTCGCTCCCTTCCTTCCTTCCTTCCTTCCTTCCTTCCTTCCTTTTTCCTTCCTTCCTTCCTGACTTCTTGCCTCCCTGCCTTTCTTCTTTCCTTCCATTTTGTAATTTCGTAATCTCAAGTATCTTTTCATAGCTTTTTTAGCTCAACATAAGGAAAATCTTATCTTCTTCCTGAGGGTAACTTTTCCACTTGTGACTCTGCCCTCCTCATACGCTGTCTCCTTTGCAATGAATTTTCCATTCTCAGCAAGCCTCTTTTAGTTACCTGCAGCACCTCAGGCGCTCTGTTAGACATAGGAAACACTGATAAAAAAAGTGAAAAGCGCCTTGCCGCAGCTTGCAGGACAGTGCAGAGGCAGGCCATCCGTTTCTGAGTGTGGAAAAGCAGGATGTAGGAATAAGAAGCTGGAGACAGTACCAAGCTGTTTTTTAATTACTGAAGGCTATGGAATAGAGGATTATAAACCTGATTGACCATCTAGATGCCAACAGCAGATAAAAAAGAAAATAATACAGGTTGAACTCTAAGTTTCTGACTTGGTATCTAACTAGTGGTGGCATCATCCCTGGATAATGATCTACTGAATGAATCTATGTGGTACCCAACAGGGTAAGTCTAACAGGCATTAACAGTGTGAGAAGGCTACATGAGGCTACATTTATAGGCAAAATAATCCAGAGAAAAGTTGGCAATGAGGGAAAGAAATGAGTGGCACTCTTTAGAGATGTGAAAGATATTCAAAAAGAGCTGAGATGGATAGTGTGGAACAGAGGAGGCAGAGAGAGACTGCCATAAGAGATATTGAAGGACAAGTTCAGAAAAGGAAGCAGAGAAACGTGCAATGTTCCAGAGGAAATGTCAAGCACAGACTTGAAAGTGCCCTGTTAGGTTTCGGTTGTTCTCTCCCACTTATACTCTTTTTGCTCTATTCCTCATGTTTACGTCTCTCTATGAATAAATTAGTAACATTTTATAAGTACATAAAATTCTTCAATGGAACCTACTTGTTCTCAGCATTATCTTCTTTCTTCAATCATCAACATCAACACTGATTTCTACCACACTGGGCATTTTATCTTAAAATTTCACAGTACAGCTTTTTAAAAAAAATTGTTCATTTTAGAGACCCACTTTGACAACTCAGTTTTCTTCATTATGCCATCTGATCTCTCTATAAAAGATTCCTTTTTTAACTCTACTTTGCACTGTTCTCCATTGGGTTGTTTCATCAAGAACTTTGTAGTTCTTTGAAAACCCTCTTTCTGTCTTCTACAAGAATTTCTTTTTTTTTTTCTTCTAAACTTTTCAAATAAACTTGTTCCCCCTCAGTCCCCAAGATTTGGTCTGTAGTTCTTTCCTTTGAAAAAAACCCATATTTGCACTCTTTAGGCAATTTCACAAGTAATTAATATGTAGGAGAAATTCCAAGTGTATAACCTTGATATAGATTGTCAAATGGAAAGATACATACATATTCAATATTGAACTGGAAGTTTTTAAATAGCCTAATCTCCTAAAAATAGCTTGCTATTTGTTTGTCTGAACACTTTTCACTCCTTTTCTCCTCTCCCATAATCCTGGTGCAAGGGACCATTGACTTATATAACATGTTTTCTCTCTGGTTCTCTGATGAACAAAACAATTTCAATATAGGGGAGTAGACACTGTACAAAATTACGAAATTACCTTCCATCATAAAAGAGCTGCCAAATATTTATCTAGCTCTTACTGTGTGTTAGATGATATTTTCTTTTAACTCTGCTCCCTTTATATGCATTAGAGGAGTAAATTAGTTTCTTCATTTCCTAATTCGTCATCATACATTGTTTTATATATTACTTATAATTATTTTTTACAGTGATAAAAAAGTAACCATTGTGTAGTGAAAACTCGTTTTGCCACCCTAGGTCTATTAAAAGCCACTTCCAAATGTTAAAACATAACTATTACTATGATAATGATATCCCAAGGCACAATTAAGTTCTGAAATATCTTCTAAGTTAAAACATGCTTCATAAAATGTTAGTGCTCACACATTATCATTCTTTGAAAATTGCCATCCTTGAATGATCATGAATGACATACAGATCATTTAATTTCTCTCAGAAGAGCATTGTCTTACACTTCTTTAAATGATGTTAACTCCCAAGTAGTTAGCTGATCTTTCTTTGGTACTCACATGCATACAGTCATAATGTCATGTTGAGGAAACACACTCGATTACACTTACTTCATAAATCCAATTTTTGCGGACACCTGTAAATTAGCTGAACAGTTTTCATGGGCACAAAACCTTGCAAAGTTTATCTGGAAATAAAAATAAGATAATATTTATATTTTTGTTCATTCAGTAGATACATTACTTTGTTTTTCAAGAATAAGCTATCTGTGATACAAAAAGAAAATAAAATTAATACATCAAATCAATAACATATTATCACTTCTTGAGTTCTGAGACTTAGTCAGAAGGTTCAAACAACATAGTTGCAGAGTTAAAATAAAATTAAAAAAAAACTGATCCTTCTAGTAAGTTAGTTTTAAGGCCCAAATTTATGAGAAATAAGATTCAATGAAAGTTAAGACTACCAGCCCGGGCAAGAAAGTCCATGAGACTCTTTATCTCAAATTATCTCAAAACACCAGAACGGGTGCTGTGGCTCAAAGTGGTAGAGTACTGGCCTTGAGCTGAAGAGCTCAGGAACAGAGCCCAGGTCCAGAGTTCAAGCCCCATGACTGACCAAAAAAAAAAAAACAACAAAAAACAAAAAACAAAGTTAAGAGTACATCTATTTGGAGAATATTAGCTGTCAAGATGCTCTTCATCAATTTTCTTTTCATCTTGTGGTGCTATAATTTGTCCATTTTATGAGGGTGTGCTTTTTTGTTCATTGCATGAATGTGTGCTTCTGACCATACCCAAACACATCTTGTTAATTACATCTCTGTATTGTTGGATAGTAGAGATCTGAACAACAGGACTTCTAACACATGACAGCCAGGTAATTCTAGTGCATTGTTAGTGAAAAGGAAGCTTTTTAGGATAAAATTTAGAAAATTAGCTCAATTAATTATCATGTAGGTTCTGCCTTCAATGCAATTGTTCCTGGGATATGGCTAAAAAGCATATAATGAAACATTTAAAAGAGAAATACAAACCAGACACCAGTGGTTCATGCCTGTAATCCTAGCTATTTGGATGGCTGAGATCTAAGGATTGTGGTTCTAAGCCTGCTTGGGCAGGAAAGTCCTTGAGACACTTATTGCCAATTAATCACAGAAAAGCCAGAAGTGGCATTGTAGCTCAAGTCTTGAGCAAAAGATGCTCAGGGACAGCACCCGGGGCCAGAGTTCAAGTCCCAGGTCTGGCCAAGAGAAGGAGGGGAGACAGAAGAGATGGGGAAAGAAGGAGAGAGAGATGGGGGGAGAAGGAAGAGGGAGAGGGAGAGAGAGAGAAAGGAAGGGAGAGAGGAAGAGCAAGAGGCAGGAGAGAGGGAGAAATTCTTTAGCAATGTAAGGATTTGTGTTTATAAATTAAGAAACATGAACAGGAAATTGGAGAAAGACAGAGAGGATCCACAGGAGGGACAGTGAGGTATGAGAAAGCGAAACAGAAATGAGAAAGAGGAAGATAAATTGAGTCACCTTATGGTATGGAATTATTAACTCATGGTTCAATGTTTTCCATCATGGTTTCTCTCTAGAAATATATTTTTCTTTACTAACAGGATAAAAATGATATAAAAGCAACATTTTATATAAATGAGGAATAAGAGTTGTAGTTAAATACAGACTTTAAAATATTCACCTCAGCATTCTACAGGGAATATAAAAAATAACCATTGGAATATAATATAGCATAGATCTATTATTAATTTTTAAAAGCCATAAAATTGTTGCAAATAATTCCAGTATTTCTCTTCATTTCTTTAATTTACATTATATTCTAAAAATTCTGTAGCATATTACATAATGTTTGAACAAAGGAAAACAAGCCTACCGTTTTCTTAATTATGTCTTTTTCTTTCTTTTGCTGCAGAATTGGCTGAAGTGGAGGGAATTCCTCTGCACTTCGCTTGCTAATGATGTGATGCCCAAGATGGTAAGCAGCTTCTATCTGAATTGGGGTGAGGATGTCCCGTACATCTTTCTAAGGAAATTAAAAGCCATTGGAATTAATAACAAAAATAATCACCAGAAAGGTATAAAAAACTTCTTTCTTCCATGATGCCAAATTCAACATATGGAATCAAAGAAAATTTTAAATTGTAAAAATGTATTTGGACAGCTATCTATGCAAATACATATTGCACTATAAAACTGCATTATGAAAGCATTTGTTTCAGATGCTAAACTCAACATTAAAAAATAAAAAGTGCAGCCATTCAATAACAGATTCAAAAGCCACATTTGGGCACATTCCCTTCCATACTATTTTATGCATTTTTTATAACTTGGTATTATAAAAATATGATCAAATGTTCATTTATAAATATTGCCAATCATTTGAGTTGTTCTACTAAACATTATATCCCATTTTATCTTAAGCTATAGTAACATGCAGAAAAGTGATGTTACTCTCAATTTAATTAAGTCCTCTTTCTTATACCTCTCAGCAATACTGGGATTCAATTTGACTGATTTGAAGCTATAGCTACTACAAAACATTCTTTTTAGGTTGCTTTTCCTATTATATTTTCTAACAAATTTTGGCTGGTACAAAGGAAAGTTATTAGCTTCACATATTTAAAGTTTATATCCTCTGCTTATTAAATTTTCTTATTGTTAAAGGTTTTTAGGGTTATTGTACTATTACAGTTCAAAAACTTTCTTAACTATATTTATGAGTTGCACAGGAACTCTATACGGAGCTCTTTCAAATTTAATCTAGTAGTAACATATTTCTCATTCCTATTAATGTCAATATATGGTCAAAAACTTTTTTTGTCAGTAATAGTGCCTGAACTCTGGGCCTAGGCACTATCCTTCAGCTCTTCAGCTCAAGGCTAGCACTCTACCATGTGAGCCACAGCACACTTCCATCTTTTCCTGCTTATGTAGTGCTGAGGAATCAAACCCAGGGCTTCATGTATGTGAGGCAAGTAATCTACCACTAAGCCACCTTCCCAGCCCTCAAAAACATTTTTGACTAATTAGATTAAAGAAATTAATATGCCCTATCCCAAAGAAACATTCAAGTTTATTACAACTTGTCAATTAATACATTTTACTCTTTATTTCTTAAGCCAGGGAGTTTTCATCTTTTAAAAAAATTATCATGAACTTAAAATGACTGTATTGTCTTTTCATTTACAGATGTAGTAACATCTGCATTAAAAGAAAATATACAACATTAATATCAAGATTACATGTATGTACAAAAACAGGGAAATAACCATCCAGGAAATACCTTGAAAACATTAATGATTCAACTAAGTAAAGTCCTTTACCAGATAGTAAAAGTGTTCTAAGATCTAAAACAAATATGTGGAAGTCAGATAAAACATATCTCTTAAAAAGGACTTTGCCCAAGCTCTTTCTGGACAGAAATATCATTTCCAAAGTGTGTTGAACAAAAGAGACCATCTCTGTATCTAGAGCATAAGCTTTAAGATGCTACGCACAAAACAATTCATGAGAATTTGTAATAAATTTCAATTGAAATGTTACATGAAATAAGAAACATTCTAATGATATCTATAGAATAAATATCTTAAGTATAATAGCAAAACTTGAAGGCAAAAGGAATCTCACGACTTGAGAGGGCCATTCACAATGGCAAATACAGTCTACAAACAGAGAAATGGGCAAAAAAATCTATGCAGTTGTACTTTGTTCTTAGAATTATTACTACACTCAGAAGATGGTTTGAAGTACTGATACCTTTTATACTAACAATTTAAATTTAAAGCTCAGTTTGGCTTTACTTTTCATACATCCACTTCAATCTACAGGCTCTTATCTTAAAGAATACATTCAACAAACTTCTTGACAAGTAAAGAAAGAGATTCAAGTGTATTGAACCATATTAGGCTAGACATAGTCTCTTAAACCACATTGGAGTCTTATAGCTTTCATAAGAAACCAGTGACTATGATAGGCAGACTTTCTAGGAAATAAGACAAAAGGTCATGTTTCTATTTAATGACTGTCATTTCAGAATTGGAATACAGTTTAAATATTGTTGCTTAAAAGTAAATAAGGAAATTATTTTCAACACTCACCAATCAGTTATTCTTAATAGATAAGGAAAATGCCTCTTGCATAGATTATTGCTGGTACTGTTTGCATCTCTAGTACCTCATTTTATTTTTTATTTTTTGGTACTGGGATTTGAACCAGTGCTCACACTTACTCAATAAGTCAATAAGTAAATTAATAAGGATGACACACAATATATGGAAGACTGCAATTATTATATATCCTTATTTAATAAGAAGCAAAAGGGATAAAATGTTTTATTCTCATTGATAACATCATCATTGTGATAATATTTAGTGTCAGATCAAGTGGTCTGGAAGTGGAATGCTGGTATTCAAATCATGAGTCCATCATCATCTATTTGTAACTTAGGCAATTAATATAATTTATCTACAGTTCAGTTCTCTTATATGAAAATAGCAGTACTGTATTTGAGATAATTCATTATGATGATGGTAATATATTGTTGTGATGGTAAAGTGACAGAAAGTATGTGGATGATTGGATATTATAATTGTTACATATAATGCCCCAAATTTAGGTATGTAAGGCAAACAAGGATTAAAATGAGTCTGTTTCTTAAAATAAATACAGAAGAAAATTCAGAAGGAATATAAAAACTGGACTACTGTCAATTTGTAAAACATTAAATAGAAAGTGAGTGATGTAACAAATATTTGAGTTCCATTAATGAAATAGTATCTGGAAGATTTGGAAAATGAGTTTGAATAGTGAAGTGGTCTGATTACTTTTTCCTCTTCTTTTACATAGAGATACTTTTATTAAATTAGTTGGTAAGTGAACTTCTCAGCATGAAATCTTGACTACATAGGAATGCTACAAATCAAGGCCAAATCCCAAGTTATTGCCTTGTGAAAATGGAACAGCTTGAAGACTTGAGTATTACAATAGCAAACTTGATTAAATTATTCCCTAGGTGTAGGGAGCTAGACAGACACTGATTGTACCTCCACATGTCCACTGTTTTAATTCTTCCCAACAAGCATGCTTTGACCAAATCACATGTTATTTAATTCATACTAAATTTCCACAAGGTCTTCTCTACATCTGGTGTATATTACTTTCATTATCCTAATTAGCTATTAATTATGCTCTTTTCTCAATATATAAAATGAACGTGCATTCTTGCAAGAACTGTATTTGACAGACATTCACACTTACTTAACTTTAACAACTCCACCTAAAGACAAAAGCTGTAACATCAAAAAAAATCTTAAAGTGACAAATTAAGTATTTGAGAGGGAAGATGATGATTTGGTTTAAAATTTTCATTTGGATGGCTATGTGCTATTATTAAAAATAAAAGTTTCATGCCATATTTTTATGGATAATAACATAAAACAGGGTACCCACAAGCATGTAAATTAGCACATGCCTAAAATTACACTAGTTCTGCTTTTTGCCTGAGTTTCATGGAAATCTGTACTTCAAGTTAACTACAGTTAGACTGTAGTGTCATGTCCTCCTATTATGTGTGTGTACTGAAAATTTATTTGAATTGGGAAGTGCAAAATACTCACACCATACTAAATTAAAAATTATGTCAAGGCATAAACATCTGAAGGTATTTATAGGGGTTTACAGTAGAGAATCTGGGGATACAAAATGGGAAGTCACGACTCTTGTAATGACCTATAACCAATAATTGAAGCATACACAAGTAGAAGCAGAGGAAGGTCTTATTTAAAGAGCTGGGAGACATATAATGTCTGTGCTTTTCCAATGCCTTTCTGATGCTGTTGTGAGATTAAGGAGGGAGATTGTAAAAGCAAGGCATAGGCGTGAACTGAACCAGGATAACCATGTGAAACTATAACCCAGTTATGTCATAAGTGTGGTGCAGGCGGTAGAGAACTGGGTCTACATCTACATGAGAGAAAAAGGACATCCTTTCTAAGACAAATGCCCTCAACAATAGAACATGTTCCAATTCTCTCACAAAGAAGTTTTATAATGAGATCTGAGGAATTTGTGTTTTATTTATACATTAAAGTTTCTTACATGCCTTGTTTTTTTTCCTTTTAAAAATATTAAGTAGTTATACACAGGAGTTGCTATTCACCAAAGCAGTTTATGAATATATTGCATCTTGATCAATGTCACCCCTTTCAACATTTTCACCCACCCCTTCCAACCCACTCTTTCCCTTACTTGTCTTAATTTTAGGTTATTGTATTCAACTTTTGCCAGTGTTTTAATGGGCTTCAGCGTATTTGTATACATAAATATAATGTATTTGAATAATATTCATGCCCAACATTCTCTCTGTCTCTTTTTACTGGTGTGTTCCTTATTCCAAAATAATCTCCTATCTTCATACTTTTAAAGAAACTATAATCTACACAAGAAGAAATGTGGTACCCTCTACATGTAGCCTATGTACCACCATTTTTATACTGAGTCCTCTATTCTCCATCACTCCACTATTTACTATACTCTGTTCTTTCCTATTTGTCATCAGCCATACAACCTAAAATACTATAAAGTTTAATTTTCCACCATGTTATTGTCTCACTCACTACCTTTCAAACTCCAGGAAGGTGGTAATGCTTTTATGTTTCATTCACTGATAATACATATATGTCTGAAACAGAATTTGACACAATATAGGTACTCACTAAATATCTATAGAACTGAATGAAGGGGTAAGCTGAACTTATTTGGTAGGGCCAACAGGGACAATTTTACAACTAAAGCATACCCAACCAGAAGTCAGGGAGTCTTCTAACAGTTAGGGATTGTAGGTTTGATTATGTGAATAACAAGTGTGACATTTCATTGTAAGGGATACTGAAATAAAATGCGCAAGCATATTGACACTTCTGACACTGGAAATGTTTTTATGGCAGACACAATCCATCTAGGCAACCTGACCACTTTCTATTTCTCTTTTGGCTACTGTTAGAAAGATGGAAGAATTTGGGTTGCCATTCTGTGCTATCAAGTATAGATGCATAGCAAGGCTGTTTCCTAATGCCTGGGTGCAGGTGGAAGTACAAGTCAAGACCCCTCGCAGGGAACAACTTCTGGACAGAACTCAAAGCTAGGCAGCTGCTTCCGTGCTTCCCACACCCTCCGTGAGTTTACTACAAATGAGGGCTTTCAACTTCCTATCTTTGAGTTTAAATGGTAGCTCACAACAAAAGCAAATAACCTCCAAATGGAAAAGAAGATACTCAAGGAAATGAGTGAACTTCCCATTTAATAACAATTCTGGTATTATGTACTATTGATAAACATTCACAATATGGCCCAAAGTCAATGTTGCATCTGCTGACTTCCGAACCATGGTAACACTACAGGTATATGTGTGCAATAGAACATAGAAACCTTTACAACATTCTAATTTCTACCATGAGTTTATTCTGAAGAAGGCTTATAATTTAGATAATGGCTTTTTCATAGGAACAATGCCTCGAAAACACAAGAGTAAATAAACCAGATCCATTTTCTGCCAGCCTTATAATTTCAACACAACATGCCTTTCACAAACATCTAATGATGGTATTTAACACAGTCTAAATTAGTTATCTCTAAAACTGACTTTATATGAGAAAATCCACATCAATGAAGGATGAAAAATAAAGAATTTCTAGCACCCCTACCATGCGAAATGATTACATCAATACTTTTGGATGTGAACCCTCTAATAGTTGTATTCTAGTATAACAATAAAAATCCATTAAGGGAAATAGCATAGAGATGACTGTTCTTAGCATTCCACAGTATATTGGAGTTTTGATGCTTTTCTGCATTTGCTTGGTATAAGTTATCTAAGGAAAAATTAAGTTCTAAATTATTTGAAATCCCTGAAAGGGCTCCTGAGATTCGTTTGGCTTTTTTTTCTTTCTGACAATAGATTCTCTGATTAAATACACCCTCCTCTAATCAAAAAGACCTGGCACTGCTTCATATGCTAAAATTTGACCAATGTGAGGAGTGTGATGATCATTTTGAGAACAAGTGTTTTAATAAAAGAAACATGAAATTGGTTGTGCTTTTGCAGGACATGCCCCAAAGCATTGTGAATGCTGTCATCCTGGTCCACAAATGATCCCTATCCATCTCACAACTGTGCAAGTTCCCACTAACACAAATGAGGCTGGCGCAGAGACAAAGAATCCAAATGCATCCATATTGAAGTCTGCTTCATTGGAGTTCCATGAAAAATAAACCAACTGCCCACCTTCCCTCAAATCACTCCCTCCGCTGACCAAAAAGAAAATTATCCAACCAAGAAATAGATTTGAGTCTCAGCAATGCTAGTCAGTAGGCACATTTCCCAACAAGTGGATACACAGGGCCAGAAAATAGCAATCACAGGAAGGAGAAAGACAAATTTTTAAAATGTAGAAAATGTGAGGTAAGGATGCCTCAGAGAGCAGCAGCCTATGGGCCATTCAGGTTTGCACTGTGTGAAACTTTGGCTGGAGTAACAGGTCACAGTTGAGGAAGGGTTAACAATTGCTTTAAGCAACATTGTATGAAAAGATACCATGTATAAAAAGGTGGTTCACATTACCCGCATAAAGGCTTGATGTGTTCTACAGGTAGCTCCTCTGTTGGATACCTGAATGATTCCATTCATCACATCAGACGTGCCATTGGTAGAAAAGTAAAACCTTGATGGCGATTCTGCCTTTCTGTTCACATCTAAACTCATGTTATAAAACAAAACTGCAAATGTAAGGAGAGATCTGCAGTTAATATGAATAATTATCTCAATGTGTCTATAATTTTTTGACATAATGGTTATAGAGTATGCTGGGAACACATTACCTTCTCTACATTAGGTAACAAAAAAATACTAACTTCAAATATGAAAGAACCTGAATCACAAACTTCAAAGTTATTTCTATAAGTAGAAGATATTTACTTGGCACAAGCCTGGAAGATAAAGAGAGAACTGAGATAAAGGAGAACTGAGACTTGAAGAAGCCTAGGCAGAAAAGTATGAAGACAATCTAAACTAATGGCTTCGTGTTACGGCACATGTCTGCCATACTCAGGGGTATGGGAAAGCATAATCAGAAAGATCACAGCCTCGACTGGCCTGAGCATAAGGCAAGACCCTCTCTCTAATATACCCAATGAGAAAGAGAACTGGAGGCGTTGCTCAAGTGTTAGAGTTTCTGATTAGCAAGCTTGAGGTCCTGAGTTCAACCGTCAGCACTATCTAACCAAAACTATAACAAAAAACTATACATATTTCTAAGTTTCCATTATTGTGAATACCTTTAGTGATTTATTTAATATAAAAGGTTTTTTTTGGGGGGTCCGGTCCTGGGGCCTGAACTCTGGGCCGGGGTGCTGTCCCTTAGCTCTTCAGCTCAAGACTAGCGCTCTACCACTTGAGCCACAGTGCCACTTCTGGCTTTTTTCTTTTTGCTTATGTGGTGCTGAGGAATCGAACCCAGGACCTCATGCATGCAAAGCAAGTGCTCTACCACGGAGCCACCTTCCCAGCCTAATATAAAAGCTTTTAAGCCACAGTATCAGAAGTCCTTTTCATTCATGTAACATCTAACTAAGGAAGCATGCACAGAGCTCTGTGATCAAAAGTCAATTGGAATAAATCTATCCTGTGTAATTACATGACTAATTTTGTACAGATTTATGTTCATTAGTTTCTGTGTGTTTCTGATTTGAGGGCTTTGCTCTTTTCCTTTGATCTATTTTTCATATATAATATATATACATGGCTCATCAGTCAAGCCTGTTAGAAATAGTTTGTTCTTAACTGTCTTTCAATCCTATTCCCTGATTATTTTTCCTTTATGTTTCCATTAGTTTGTAGGTGAACCTCAGGTGTTAATTTGTTCTGGATACACACACACACCATTTCCTCAAATAGTCTAGTGGTCTGATGATATTTATTTCAAATCATTCATGCTATATATTCATCTGGAAAATAAGATATTCCTATAAGAAAAAATGAAATAATAAAATAAAAAACAAGTCAGATATTACCAAGAAAATAAGAACCATTTCCTGAATCTAAATGGGTTCTTTGAAGAGGAAGCTAAGTCTGATAGTATCCTGAGTTCCACTCATTGTATGGGAGCAATAATTCATAAGTGATATTTTAAAGAACTTACATCATTCCTGGAATGCTCATTTATATTTTAGAAGCAATTGGCATGTCTGGAAATATTTTATCTACTTTTTCAAAGAAATGTAAGCATGAAATCTATATTATTCTTACTTATTTCAAGCAATCTTTAACTATCTTTTTAGTTAGAAAATAAACAATAAAGTCCAAATCAATTGGCTTAAAATTACAATAACTGGAATCCAATAACTGTTGGGGCAAGAGAACTTGCAATTGAAATAGCTATCTCCAAATTCATCACCCTGAGTTCAGATCAGTAAGTGTAAAGAGGATGAATACAAACCAATTCCAGCAAGAGGCAAAACTCTTACATGAGATATGCTTACCATGGAATTGATTTTTTTAACCAGGAATTCATTTTACATCAATTATAAATCATGTTTCTATAACAACGCTGTGATTACTCATGGATTTTATGCATTTGTTTCCAACCATATTTTTAATATATCTAAAATAATGTTTTGTCAGTACAAGAAACCCTAGTTTTGCATGAGGGAAACAACCCTATCCATTCAGTGTGTACTTCAGATAATCCATCATCTTGTCTATGCTAATGTGTAATTCACTCTGGGATGATGTTCCCAAAGTGCTAGTTCTCCAATCAATAAATGAATGAAGGTTTTGCCCAAAATTTGTTACAAAAACTCTGCCAGGACTTTTCCAGAGTACTACTAAAAATGAGTCTCATAAAGCAGACACATCATTCTATCTCATTACACGCTAATTCAGATGGCAACATCTATTCCATGCCCTTTGTTAAGTTCAGTATTTAGCACCCTCCATGCTGTAGCAGCATACAAGGTCTGGAGCACAGTCAACACAGGTCTTCGGGGAGAATCACGGCTTCTGAGAATTATTCATAAGCAAATGACAAACCTATGTATGTTTCTCTCTTACGATGGGCTAATTTAGTAGTAGCTATTTTAATACTACCTTAAAAATAATATAACCAGAACATTAATATATTAGTATAATAGTGATAAGGCAGTGCTAGATTTTATAAAACTCAACAAGACTGGGGATGTAGCTCAGCTGAACAGCACAATGCCTATGTGAAGTTTTACTTCTTGAACAATTAACTAAATTAAAAAATAAAGTACTCAGGAAAGTAGATAAATTGTGTTGACGCTTCTTTTAGTTTAAAGAGATTTAGATGATGCTCAGCTGGTTTGCCTTAGAGAATCCAATGGGTGATATTCTTATCTTGCTCCTGATACAACCTCTAAATAACTCAGCTTTCCATGTGCCCCCATTCCTGGATTAGAACAACTCAAGAATCCAAGAGAGAAGACAGATGAAACTCAAAGGCTGCTCTATTCTGTTCTGAGAAGACCTTCACTGGGACAGAGAAAAAGGACTCAAAGGATGTCTACAATATTAAAAAGGCTCAAATCAGGCCCTGACACTGGTTCTGTAGGACACACTTACGTATATAACCTGGGACTTCTTTGCCCTTATAGGAGAAACAGAGTGTTAAGTCCATGCACACAGAGGGCAGTCCATTTTCAATACAATCAAATGTTGTTCTATTCACTGACTCTGGGTGGCTTAAAGATGCTTCAACAATCACCACAGGCCTTGTCCTAAGAAGGAAACCAAATTAGCAATATTAATTGTAGAATGATGTTTCCTCTAATAATCACCCTTGTTCTGTCAGTTTCCACTGACCAATGATTTCCATTAATCTGCCTTCATAGTAGTTATGGGCACATATACCCAATTATATTTCTGTGCACAAACCAAGAGAAATTATCATTTACATATTTATAATATCTGCTTTATTTGATGACTTCTTTTTATATTATTCAAGGTGAGAAAAAATACCCGTAAGTCCAGTCATTATAATGCAGAACATCAAAAGGAATGTCATCAGGCTACTACATTAGGCTACTATGGCTGTTAAAAGCTGCCTCTCATAATTTACAATTAGGCCCTATTGTCATTAAGCAGTGAAATGTATCAACCTTACCTTAGCAACACAGCCGAATCAGACCGAAAAGCACCAACTGCTACATCTGGATGATAAAAAAAAACAACCCAGATTAATGATCATCATTAGTCAAAGAGAATTACTTCTCAGCCATAAATACTTAACTGCATGCAACCTTTTGTCTACATCAAAAGTCTACTTAGAGAAAATTACTTAGAAAAGACAGAAAAGCATTTTAAGATTCACCTCACATTGGTCTGAATCTATGTAATAATAATAACATTCATCTCTTCATAATACAACTTAAACAAATTTTAGGATAGAATCTATGATATGAAATCCATGCCAAAATAAAATTCAATTATTAGGACTTAAACATTCACCCAGAAAGTTCCCTTTAAATGAAAAATAGTTCCTTCTTTCTTTGCTTCATCATATGTTTTATTTCCATGGATGTTGTAAAATTTTCATGAAAAAGAAATAAAACATTTTTACTAACAATGAAAAGCTGAGGAATTGTTTGACCACATCTAGCCCTTCTTGGAAAAAGTTTTTAAAATATAGGAAAACAGCATTATTAAATTCAAGTCACATATGTGTGTTTGTGTGGGTGCATGTGTATGTGTCTGTGTTCACAATAAAGCAGCATTCACAATAGGTTTTACTCCAATTTTATGAGATATAGAAAATTCTATACTCACCTATGTATCCATTATTATCTGCATCAATTTGCCCTGATATAGACTGTCCAAACATCCTTAGTGATTTACTGATTTGAAGTCCTTCAATTCTCTGAAAATAGGAAAATGGAGGAGAAAGTGGTTTTTAAATAGTAGTTTTTAAATAGCTAATAGAAAAACCAATGAATTGGTTAAATACTGAGTATTCCTTCCTTGCCACAGCAAATTTACTAACAAAATGCATTTTTGTTAAGTCAGACACTTTCCTTAACTATATTTAAAATTGTCTTTAGTTGTACAAAGGAGTTGTTGTATTTAATGAATCTGTTTATGAGACACTTCTAAGAGGCACAAAATTTTCTAGATTGAAATAGGCATCTATTTAGCGACTAAAACAATTTTACACTGTGAATGGGAAAATTATGCAGCATAGGATTTTTTCCCTAAAAAGGCAGTTCCTACTATTTTCTTCAAGTCTCTTTTCAGGCTCTGTATTTACTTCCTTGACCACATAAATAATGAACGAAGTTACTTGGAAAACAGGATGCATATAATCACGTAGTGGGACCTACTTATGATAAAAGCCTTTTTGTTTAGCCAGATCAATACCTAGCATTTAAGAGGAAAACCCAACTTAACATCTACCCTCTATTCCATGAATCTAATTTCATAGCCAGATACTGACTTATAAACATCAGGTTGCTATCCATAATAAGAAAATCAGTATCACTTACCAAGTAAGTACCTGACTTTCATATTAAATGTTGAGAACTACTTGTTCTCAACAAAATAAATGGTACTGGGGTATAATAGACTCTATAGAGAACATAAGAAGCATAATTCTTTTCAAAGACTTGCACCAGGAAATTGGTACTTGCAAGAGATGGATCAAAGGGAGAGAGGTAGAAGAATGAATGGGGGAAGGGAGTAGAAGGCAGGCAAGAATACATTGTATATACCACAGAATTGAGAAAAATCAGGATAGGGGCTGATCAAAGTGGGTGGGAGGTGAAGATGATAAAGGGATAATACAGATTAAAATGCATTGTATACATAAAATGCTTTGTTAAGTGACAAAAAATCAACATATAACCTAACAATTAAGAAAAGTGAGGGAAAAGGTAGGGTAGGAGGAGTGAGTGAGAATGTTAAAAAAGGGTAGCATTAATCAAGAGGCATTATATTCATAAAGTGCTCTGCTGAATGGCCACTCTTTTGTATAACTACTTAAAGAAAACAAAAATAGTAAAAAATAATGGTATTGGCTAATGTTTCAATTAAAATGTCATTGGATCTCTTTCCTGCATTTGAATGTAGATTTTTTTCTGTGCACTGATATGTCCTGAGTTTTCAAGATATAAAAGTGAACTCAGAGTTTGAACATAAATACCTATTATACCTACATTGACCAATATGGTATAGAATACATGTTTGATCTCCTTATGCAAGCTTTATGAAACATGGCTTTATCTGCAACATGAGTCATAGTTAATCAAATCCAAATGGGCATACTTTAAATCATATGGCTATTACCTCAAGAATACAAATGTGATAAAAAAAAACAGAGAAAACTTTCGTAGACTAAGCACAAGCTAAAATGGAAATGAAGTATAATTTGTATTTATGAAATATTTGTTTAAGAATTTACTATGCTTTAACACAAGACTAGTATCATTGTATGAAAATACTGAAAAAATGTGAAATATCTGAAACAGCAAAATAGAAAATGAAATCCACAAAACTCTAGTGGAGAGATGGGCACTTCCACCACTAAAACCGTTTTCTTGAGCAGAAAGTAAAACCTTACCTGTGAGAAGGTGGAGGAGATCCCATCTTCTCGGCCATTGTAAATGTAAATTGCACCTCGCAAGTCATCTTCTTGTGGTGCTCCAACAGCAACATCTATTGGAGCATTCAAATAATGGCAGAGGAGGAAATTCTTGATAGAAAGAATGAACTTTGAAAACTGTTATGATCCCTAATTCATAAGACACAGTAAGGAATTGCTCTTACAATGACAAACTAAAATTCTTCTAAGAAAATGAATAAGAACATCATCTTCATGCCCAGGATTGTATACAATAGACTGTGTACATAGAACAAAGCCAAATGCTGGATTTGAGGGGCATTCGGTAATAATGCTAATGGAATGAGCTTCCCAGTCAGGCACTGAGAACAATTGCAGCTATGCTACAGTGCACCCATTTCTTAAGCTCTGTGTTTGGTCTCCTCACTCACAGAGTGTTTGGTCTCCCCATTCACAGAAATGGTAAAAAACATTTCTAAACAGAAAAAAATGTTATTAGATCAGCTACTGGTGCACAGATTGTCCTAATCTCTGAATATTATAAATGTAAGACTCAGAAGCAGTTGGCAGAAAGCCACTGTCCCCAAGGCTCCTTTTGGTCCTCGGCACTGCTCCCACTCTCCTGAACTCCTTACATCCTCCTGCAGGGCTCAGCTGTATAGGGTGACTCTAACACAGAGTCTTCCCAGAGCTGGTCCAGCTCTGAAGCCAGGTTCCTTGGCGGTTGCCCGGACCTTGTGTACTGATAGACACCATTGTCTAATGTAGTTAAATTACATTCCCTTGTCCCATTTGAGTTCTTAAATTAGGATTCTTCTTAAAGTAGGTGCGTTTTACAGTTTAACAGGCAACATATTTTAGGGCTATCTAAAGTAATAGAAGTTTATAATCACTAGTGTCTTAGAGTAAAAGAAGGCATTTTCAATATCACCCATTATTAACAATGTTGAGAAGTCAGATAGAACACTAAAAAAGAAAAAAAAAACTAGAGAGCATAATAATTCAGGTTCCATTTACAACAGATAGTCAAGCAACACAAAATTCGGATCGTTTTTCTCTTCCATGACCAATTTTTAAAGTAGAAATCAAGTTCCAAGTTGGATACTCTTAATTACCTGGAAAGCCATCATTGTCAATGTCCCCAAGATTAACTATAGATTCTCCAAATCTTGCAGCGTATCTGTCACTTCCAATGAGCATTGTTTCCATTTCATTCATTACTGCTCCCTGGATGGGAAGGGAGAGAAAGGTGTCATGATAAAACTCCTGACAACTTCACACATGATTTACTGCTGTAATTGGATATGGATTTTTCTAATGCATCAAACAAGTTGGACAAACTACAAACTAAGCTTTAGCACACACATCTCAATTCAATAAATATTTATTGAATATGTCAACACATATATAGTATGATTAGAGCTCAGAGGACAAACAAAATTGTCAAACTCATGATCCCTATAGCTTTGAAAATTCAGTGAATCATTTTGATAATTCAATTTAACAAGGATTTATGGAGTTCTCACTAAAGACAATGTACTCTTCGTAGCAAATAGGTCAAAAGAACAGTGTGGGTATAAAACACAGGTCTTTGCCTCCAGAAATCCAGGACTGAAGAGGACTTAGATCAAGCATGAAAATGAATGAGAAATACAAATGGCTTTGCAGAAATAATAAGCAGTAAAGGAAAAATTTAAAGAAAACCAGGAAAGGATGTCATTAAGAAGAAACATGGAGCTGGGCACCAGTGGCTTATAGCTCTAATTTGAGCTACACAGAAGGCTGAAATCTGAGGATCACAGTTCAAAACCAGCATAGGCAGAGAAGTCACTGAGACTCTTATTTTCAACTAACACACACACACACACACACACACACAGAGCCAGAAGTGGAGCTTTGGCTCAAATGCCCTAGATTTGGCCACAAAACTCAGGGACAGACCAGGCCTTGAGTTCAAGCTCCAGGACTTGAGCACTAAACAAATAAGCAAGAGGAGAAGGAAGAAGAGGAGGAGAAGAAAGAGCAGGAGGAGAAGGAAGAACAGGAGAGAACAGGAGGATGAGAAGGAGAAGAGGAGAAGCATCAACAGCAACAGAGAAAGAATATTGGGAAATATCTAGGCTATTGAAAGCAAGGTGTAATTTTGACATACATTTTAACTACCATTAAAATACAGAGAGAGACAGAGACAGAGGGACAGAGACAGAGAGACAGAGAGATACAGAGAGAGATCTGGCTGCTAAGAATGGTCTGTGTAATAAATAAGACAACAAAGTCAATTGCAGTCTTTCAGTATAGCATTTTCTGGAGGGAAACTCACTCTTAAAGTTGCAAAAAAATAAGTAAACACTGGGTTGAAAAGTGACATGACTGAAGTTAGTCTTTGGAACAGTATCTTGGCATCAATGGAACTGATATCCCAGAAGTTGGAAGATGAGTTATTAAGATATTCAATGCTGCTGAAATAAGGAGCTATTACAATAATAGCACGGAGCCCTCTTTATAGACTGATTGGGTCATTCCCTGGTGTGAAAAAATGTGCCCTTAGAAGTCTTTCTCTTCAAACCAATCCATTCAGCATCTCTTAAGTACAAAGGTGCTCTTGTCCCTGTGAAGTGTTCTTCTGATTTTATTTTCTAACTGGGAAATTCCCATTCTAATGTTGCTCAGCCACTACCTCTGCTGTGAATCCTTCTTGGCCCTTTGTGGCCCTGTTCATGTTCCATTTACCACGCCATAGTCCCCTATTTACTTTCTGGTTTGGTGTCCTCACCAAATCCTGAGATCTTGGAGCTCAGGAATAAGATTATTCTCAGTTCTTTTGTTAGTCGTTTTCTTTTTTACCATCCAGATATTTTCTAAGTGTCACTAATTTTATTCTAAATCTACTAACATGATAGACTAGATTTTATATATACAACCATTACCCCATGGCAGCTGGTGATTAAATCAACAGGGTAGATGGTTAAAACAGCTTAATGTCTGAAAATATGTTTAAAGGAACAGGAGGGAAAGGGCTCCAGAGAGGTCAGATGAGATTTGAGTTAAAACAATGCCTTTCTAGGAAAGAGTTTCAAAAAAAGCTGTGATTACTCATCCTCAAGAATTCTCCAGGCACAAAGAGCAGAGACTGACATTTCATGAGGGATCTCTGAGAGCTATTTTAGTTGACTTAGGTGAAAGTCAGTAATTCAGGTATCACTGTTTCGTGAGTTCAAGCAAGAATAATTTCAGAGCACTTCTTGCAAACCCCAAGGAAACAACAGTAAACAAGACAGTAATTCTTGTGTGGTATCTACAGTCCTGCAGAGCAGACAGCAGCAAACCAAGTAAATAGATGCTATGCCACTTAGTGGTTAGTGCCATTTCAGAGAGTTACAGATTACAATGTTAGAAGGAAAGAAAAGGAAGAGCACTCTATTCCAATGGTTTTAAAAGCTAAAATCAATTAGCAAATTAACCTCACAAAAGAGCTTTTGGGTAAGTCTGGGGACGGGGAGAGAAGAGGGTAGCCTAGTAAATAGTACTCATTCTTTTCTTTTTAATGAAGGACTGGTACTTTTATTTATTTTTTATCCTGAGATAGTTAAGGTTTCGATGTGTGCATTTCATGATGTATATGCTACTGCTTAAACTATTCTAAAAAGTAATTCTAAAGAGAAAAATAGGAGACATTTGCAGCATTTGTAGTAAATATATGAAAACAATTTATAAAAAGAGAAATATGAAATGTCTATGGAAGAAAATAAGTGGGATTTATCACTATCGATAATAACTGTATAGGTAATATGCCTTTGCTATTCGGTTTTAAGTTAATGGAAATCTCAAAGAATGAATAATTTGCCTATTCAATATTCACAACTTTAAAACTTAAAATCTGACCAGTTTTGTAAGACTAGAGTGTTTTTCCCTCTTAAATTGAGCAGTTTAAAGATGATTATATTAGGAATAGATAATGATCTGAAAACCCTGACTAACCAAGGTTAAAAGTATCTTCTTGAAATTGATATTGCTTCATTTAATCCTGAATAAATGCTGCTGTGTTCTCACAAGCACACTTTTGTTTTGAAATCAAAGCAACAGTCAAGAAGATCCCAAGAGGGCTCTATCAACTCCTTGTTTTTAATGTCAAGAAGAAAGACTGGTGCGATAAGATCAACAGAACTCTTGAAATTTGAATCATCAAGTCATCAATTTAAACTAAAAAAATACTGCCCATGTTTCAAAGCTGAAACATTTGTTGAATATCTATTTAAACTATATATATATATATATATATAAAATACATCTATTCATATGTTAGCAAGAACAAAATCAATATGAATTGTATTTTATCAAAGAATCCTATTTGAAATTGTTTTCCAATCAAGAAGTTGAAATTCCCTTCCACTTCCAGTAACATTCTGTAATTTACTAAATTATATGAACTCTTTATTTTCTTGTCAGTCGTGGAGCCTGAACTCTGGGCCTGGGCACTGTCCCTGAACTCTTCAGCTCAAGTCTAGCACTCTACCACTTGAGCTGCAGCACCACTTCGGGATTTTTTGCTTATGTGGTTCTGGGAAATCGAGCTCAGGGCCTTGTGCATGCAAGGCAAGCACTCTACCACTGAGCCACCTTCCCAGCCCTACTATGAACATCTTAACTGTAGAAATATTTAAAGATCTACCCTTTGGAGTATCCTTTCAAGTTAGATTTGTGTCAAATTAAAACTAAAAGAAACTTGAACTGCTAGAGCAAACACATGCAAATGTCATAGTTTATCCTATCTCTGGAAGATCCAAATGAAATAGTTGCCCATTTATCACCATGTTCCATTTCATTTCTAGAGCATCAGCATAACATCCAAATGTTTACTTTTGTCCATACAATAATTCTGAGAATCAATAGTCTCAAACTCTGGATGAACAACAGTTTCATTTCAATCAGAATTCACAAATGACTTCCAGTTCGTGGGCAATCAGACCTACCGTGCCAGTGTTGATGTACACAAACACTCTTCCTTCCTCCCGGATGGTGCTCTGCATAGGCGCTCCCACGAGCAGGTCTGAGAAGCCATCTGCATTGAGGTCCACAGCACAGACAGAAGCTCCAAAGTATGAACCAAGCTGTCCCAAAGCAAACCACATCCAGCCATTGAGAAAACAACAACAACAACAAACAAACAAACCAACAAAAAAAACAGGGCTACTTACAAAAGCTCTCAGCTATATTAAAGGCAGAGACATATTACCTTTTTACCTTTCATTTCATATAAGATATTTAGCTCTTTTTCTTCAATGCTGAATATATATGCCTGCAATCACAGAATCAGAACAGTTAGTATTTCTCTCAAATTTCCCTTGATTTTCTGTCACTAAATGTCAACAAATGAAATGTGTTCCCTGGGCATCGTTATACAATTTTAATTTATAAACAATGTATTTATAGGGAAGAGAAGCTTCATGTGACTAACATAACTTTCTCTAAAGCTTTTCTGCTAAATTCCTCCTAAAAACCATAAATCTTTCACAATTTCTCTTACTGGGATACACTGTTCATCGTTTCTAGCCATTTCTTCCTTACAGTATTTGCAGTTCTGCCTTTCATTCTCCCATTCAATTTGTATGAACTCTTGATGTAAACAATGAAGACAGAAAGGTAATGCTTACTTTACCAATCTGTTCATGTTGAGGGGCTCCTCCAACTACTTCAGTCGACTGCTGACTCCGGAAATGACCGGCTCCAACTGAATACCCTTCAAGAAAGGGGAGAAAAGAATGAGAATCAGAGCACACTATGGGCACAATAAATGCAAACTCTCCTCAGATAGTCAAGTGAGACTGGAGTCAAGAGTACCTCCCTGGATCATGGTTTGAAGCCAGCCCAGGCAGGAAAGTCCTTGAGACTCTTATCTCCAATAAACTACCAAAAATCCAGAAGGGGCGCTGTATCTAAAGAGGTAGAACACTATCCTTAAGGAAAAAAAAAAAAAAAAGCTCAGTGCCCAGGCCCTGAGTCCAAGCCCCCGGATGGGCATCACAAAAAGAAAAAAGAAAAGAATCCATTATGTGCATAGTACACGTCAGACTATTTTGTTTATGTTTTATGCCCTGCTTCTACACTGGTTTTCTCTACTTGACTGGTTGATAGAAATGATACTATTGAGAGGTTGAGCTATCTCCACCTGAGTATCATCCTAGTGGGTGTTGAGATGCACATCTTTTTTGAATGAGCAGAAGAGGTACCATCGTCATTTCTGGATTTGAATTCCACCCGAGAATACCCTTCAGGGCCTGCGAAGCAGAGTGACAGTCTCTATTCAGAAGTTTTCTAGAAGGCAAAGTATGCCATCCCAAAGATTCTTCCAGAACCTAGTGTGGTAGGGCACATCTGGAATCTCAACACTTAAGAAGCCAGCCTGGGCTACATAGTGAGACCTATCTCAAACATTAAAAAAAAAAATAAAGATTCTTTTGAACTGATGGATGCAACCAAGGGGAAACTAAACTCAAGATATCTAACCAAAAAAAAAAAAAAAAGAATACCTCCCTAAGCAGGGGTTAGCAGATCACTTAGCATAGGTGCACTGAAAATGATCAATTATTACATGATCAATTATTACATGTTAAACAATTTTCATGTACATGTGGTTTGTCCCTAGAATTAGAAAGTGTTATCTTTAGATTCTTAGTCTCTGTACAGAATGAGGAAATAGCTCTTAGGATTACAGCTGAAGTTGAGAGTATATAAAATGTTTTAAGCATTAAAGACTTCCTAATTTCCACGTTATTCTTTACAAATTCTTTTTTCTTTAATAAAGTAGTAGCTCACTTGTTTCCAACTGTCCTTAGAGTCTTCAAAATAATACAATTAAACATATAATATTACTCAGTAGCTATAAGTCATAGATAATTTGAGTTTATCAATGTTTACAGTACCTAAATAACTTCCAAATTTTACTTGATTCTGTCTGTCTACGAAAGCCTTGTATTTATTTGTAGTTATATTGTAGACAAAGAGAGAACCCGTCCAGTAAGATGATCCAGGGGCTCCCATCACAATTAAATCCTGTAGGAAGAAAACAATAGAGAGTTATTGGAAAGTTAAGGTTCACCATCCACAGACTCCTCCAATATACAACCTTGTAATAGTGAAGCAAATACAATTTCACAATTAATTTATAAAATGTGTGCATTCTATTAAATTTTAAAACATATCAGGAATAAAGCCAGAGAAGCTGGATAATGAATTTATATCTAAAAGGAGTGTCTCAGACAAGAAATTCCAAAACTCTTACATTTATCAGAGGGCTTTTAAACCCAAGACAGAATCATTAAACACTTGAATAAGCTTTTGGGAGAAAGGCAATGTGGGCTCTACTAAAGAAAATCATATGTGAGTAATTCATTAGTGCTCATTACAAAGATAATCATGTGTTACCAGTGAGTAAAAGTAGACTTAATTTATTCCAATTTGCAAAACTCACTGACTAGTTTCAGTGATCTTAGAAAACAATGTGAGCCTAGAAAATTAAAAAAATGTCTACTAAAATTTAGGGCATGATTTATCATAAAAAGGAATTTTGAAAAAGGAAACAGATGGAAGGTTGGAATAAGTAGGGTTGCCTGATATAGCATGAAAAGCTACAGCAATCAAATGTATTTTTAGCATATTTTAATGTTAACTTAATGATTCTAATTTTAAAATATGATGCTTAATATTTACACAAATTATTAACCCCAAATTTGATGCAGCCCAATCTCCACTGAATTAAAAGAATTCATGATTTCCTTAACAGACTTTGAAGAGATGAACATAAGATATTGAGGCCTGAGTATAATTGTGACCTTTTATAGTACACATAGAGTACCAGAAAAGAAAGTTTAGAAATATAACAGATTTAATAAGACATTATCGAATTCTTGTGTCCCAATTATCATAACTTTAATGAAAGTGTAGACTCATATATTTTCTTCCTCCTCAACTAATATGCAAAATATTCTACTTGATGGATATTTTCAATAATTTAATATTAAAAAAACTCAGTGTAGTTCTTTCAAACTTCTACTAAATTCTTAATGAAAGCACAATCTCTAGTATAGATTCGCAGTGGTGAGGTGGTATTGGTCATTTATATATTAATTTCCTCAAATGTGTCTATGTGGAATACTGAATAGTAAAAATCTAGCTGTAATATCAACTTAAGAGACATTCAGGTAGTATACGATTTTTGCTTCAAAGCCTCTAAACTTTCAGAGGAATTAAAGTTCCACAAGTAAACACATTCATAATGGTTAATATTGAACTATTATTACCTCTGTGTAAAAACTAGATATTCCAGCTTGACATGACGAAAAATTTTCTCCAAATTTTCTTACATAATCTAAAATGAAATGTACAATGTCAATATATACAAATCAGGACTTTATACACTTGTATAAAATCTGTATAAAACTCATGTGTATGTATGTATGTATGTATGTATGTATGTATGCATGTATGCATGTAGTATGTATGCATGCATGCAGCCCAAGATACACATATATGTGCAGCCCAAGCTGGCCTCAAATTCATGGTTCTCCTGTTTCAGCCACATCAGTGCACAGGATTATATTTAAAAATAAAGACATCAAAAATGTTTAGAATAAAGTTTTAACTTTCATTTTCCTAAAAATTCTTAAAAGTATGTCTTTAAAAGTTTGCATTTTGTACTATCTCATTTGAACATAGTAGTAATTGATAATAATGTAAGATCAGATAGCTCTTCCTTTATAATCTTTAAAATCTTATTGCAAGACATTTGTTTTCTGTGGAACAACAGGCATCATATACTGAAAAAACACATAAAACGGTTATCTCAAATAGACACAGAATTTGTAGCTCTGGTTTCACATCTCATTTTCTTATATATAATTAAGGTGTTCAGCATGACATTCTGATGTACACTCTCATGGTAAAGTGATTACTCTGCACATTAATAAATCACTCTCCTCATAGTGGCCTCTCTTATGTGTTCAAAGCAACGAAATTCTACTTGCTTGGCAAATTTCTGCAATATACAATAATGTTAAAGGTAGCCCTCAAGCTGTGCATTATTCCTCTAGACTGATTCCTACTACATAGCTTTAACTCTATGCTCTCTGAACTCACTTCTTCACCATGACAACTACCTCCTACTTTGTTTCTATGTTTCATTTTAGCTACCACATGTGTCATTTATCTTTCTTTTTATAGCTTATTACATTTATCATAATCTATTTCAGGATGTCCATAACATATATGACAGGATTTCATTTTTAAAAGCTGAATAATATTTCATTGTTTATATATAGATATATATGTATGTGTGTGTGTGTCTTGTGTATGCATGTATCTATACATGTGCCTGATGATTCCTATTGATATATTTGCTGCTGGACACTTAGGTAGCTTCTACATTTTGACCATAGTGGAAGGTGCTATAATCATCATGGGAGAGTAGTTATTTCTATGTGGTACTCATTTTATTTCTTTTGGGTATACGCCAAAAGACAAAGGAATTACTGGGTCAAATGGTCTTTCTACTTGTAATACTTTAAGGAATCTCATACAGTCTTCTGTAATGGCTATCTGAGTTTATAGTGCCAACAACAGTATGTAAAGATTCTGATTTCTCCACCATACATATTATCTCTTATCTTTCTGATGAATACCCACTCTAAAAGGTATAAGAGGCTCTTATTATGGAATGATGTTCCTTCCCGGAGAGTTGGTGATATTGAGCACATTTTCATATATTTTTACTGGTAATTCATGATTTCTTTGGACAGAAAGCTATTCAGGATTTGGTTTTTTAAATCTATTTTAATCAGGTTTTTCTTTTTGCTATCAAATTGGTAACCACGAATTGGGGGTACTAATCTCTTTTGAGCATGTAGTCTGTACATATTTTCTCGTATTGCTTCACTCTGTTGATCTTTTCCTTTGCTGGGCAGAAGCTGCACTCCTCTGTTCTGCTTTAGTTACCTGAGCTGTGGGTGTCACACCTAAAGCAGTCATAGCCTATCAAGGAGTCTCCCCCTATGGTTTCCATAAGGAGTTTTACAGCTCCAGAACTTATATTGAAATCTTTACTTTGAGCTGATTTTTGTGTCTGATGTAAGACCAACTTCATTATTTGGCAGGTGGATATCCAACTTTTGCAACATCATTTATGAAAATTTCTCATTTCTTACATTGTTTTCCCAACTGAAAATAACAAATAGTCAAAATCGACATGGAGAGGAAGGGTGTCTTATTTCAAAGACTTCCTGATGTATTTCAGAGCTTAGTTCAGAGCTTCCTAATGGGATACTCTTTTGCTACTTCTGAAAGACAGACATAAACAAAGTTCTATGAATGTTAAGAATCTGGACCACTTTTTCCTTTTGGCTTAGATATTAATAAAAAATAGTTATACCATCGGTGGTTACCTATATCTGAGCAAAAATCAAGACCCTACTGTGATAATATTTAAAAATGTTAGCCAAAAATCTCAGGCAAAATAAGGGAATAAACACCTGGAAGCAGATTGAGTTTTATTGCAACTGAGATTTTAATATTCACATTTTATCTTCTTGCATGTACAGGTAAAAAAAGAAAGTTTATGATATAAGCTTCTATGACATCAAATTCCAGAGGAAAAAAGATCTCAATATTATCAGAATTAATTACTAAACTCAAGTACTTGACTAAAAAGTTAACAATTAATAAAAGTTTTCTTTGGATGGTAGGGTGTATTGTTCTTGTTTGTCTTAAAACAAATACAAATCTGGGGTTCAGTTATTTGCCAGTCCTGGGGCTTGTACTCAGGGACTGGGCACTGTCCCTGAGCTTGTCTTGCTCAAGGCTAGCACTCTACTCCTTGAGCCATAGAGCCACTTTTGGCTTTTTCTGTGTATGTGATACTGAGGACTAGAACACAGGGCTTCATGCATGCCAGACAAGCACTCTTTCACTAAGCCACATTCCCATCCCTGGAGTCTGCATAGTTTTTAGCATTCTGAAGATACGTGTTTAGAGTATTGTTTTGTTACAGATATGATTGTAAGTGTCCGGTTAACATTCACTTGTAACTGCTCACTTTCATTATGTTTAGTATGAGCTCTGTATTTGCTATCTGCATCATACATTCTATTCCAAGGAAAAGACTTTTAAGGCACTAATTTCTTGCTGTTCCAAGAAATAGACATGAACAATGTAAAAAAGAGGGATACTAGGAAAGACTTATTTACATTTTTACTTTGAAACTTTTTCACTTTTCTGGAAACTAGAGGTAAAGCAAGAAACCTTATCTTTTTCTTTCTAACTAGATGTTTCAATATAATTTTGAGATTTTAATTTTCTTATATTGGCTAGACACTGAATTTAACATAAATTTAGTACAGAAGTGAATAATTACCAACTTGCTTTCATACTATCCAAATGAAATTGTAGAGTTTCTATTTCAAAAGCACAAAGGACATTTATGAAAACTGTAGCAATGAGATGTAAAAGACACTATATTAAAAACAAACTTTACAACTCGGGGGGAAGGAGGAGTTAGGGAGGTGGGGAGGGAAATGAAAGGTAAGGGAAAAACAAAGGACATGGTAACAATGCTCAATAGGAAATGTACTTATTACCTTACTCATGTAACTATAACCCCTCTGTATAGTATCTTTACAATAAAAATATATTTAATAATAAAAACAAAGAAAAATAACATTACAATTAGATAAAAGAAAGAAAAGAAACAATTAGAGTAGTTAAATAAATACTTGAAGGATTTCCTTCTTCCTCTATAAATATTCCAAACTGAAAGTTAGTAAAAAAAAATGAAAAAGCATTCACTTGATCTAGTTCATGTTAAAGTCATGCCTCACCTTGGTAACATGGAGACATTCTTTTACTCAATTCTGTTCGTAGGTTGGAAGGCATTCCATAACAAACACCACTGGGAAGTTTATTTTCATTCTTTATGTAAAATATGTTTTTCCATCTATGTCCACAAGTCTGAATAAAGTGAAAAACAAAAACAAAAATGAGCAAAAAAAACCCAACCAAATAATGGAGCAGTTGCAACCAGGATATCTAATTACAGAATCGATCAGTAGTTCAATTGATCAGCTGATCAATTTTCACACTTACCACAACAGATCCATTTTCTCCTGGCTGTCTGGATAGGGTGACCCCCAACCATTGATTGTCTCTCTCTTCCAAACAAGTCTTTCCACAAGGTTCTCCATTAGGGCTACCTATAGCATTTGAGAATAAGTGTATTGTCAATTTTCTTCAAAGCACTGTTGCTTCACAAGAGCAGAAAAATAAGTCTGGGCTCTTATTCTTGATGTTTTTTTCTTCAGTCACTTCTCTGTGAACTTCGCTACACTGGCAATCTGGGGTAAGCACAAATATTCTGTGTGCTATGAGCAACCATCGCTGTTATCTCTCATATAAGGTGACTGTTCTCAGTTGAAATGACCTCCACTGATGAAAATACCATGACAAGGTGGCCTCAATATTACAGCAAGGAGCTAACCAACATGAATAAGAAAGAAAAGTCTCAGCACCAGGTGCTAGTGGCTCACACCTATAATCCTAGCTAGTAAGGAATCTGAGATCTCAGTCTAAAACCAATCCAGGCAGGAAAGTTTGTGAGGTTTTTATCTCCATTTAACTATCAAAAAGTCAGAAATGAAGCTGTGGCTCAAGTAGTAGAGCACCAGCTTTGAGAAAAAAAGCTGGGAGTGTAAACTTTGAGTTCAAGCCTCAGTACTGGCTCAGAAAAGAAGGGAGGGAGGAAGGAAGCAAGGAAAGGAGAAAAGAATGGAAAAAGGAAGGAAGGAAAGGAAGAAGGAAAGAAGAAAAGGAGGGAGGGAGGAAGGTGAGAGAGAGGGAGGGAGGGAGGAGAAAGGAAAGACAGACTCAAAGATTCATTAAAATTGGTTGTTCAAATACATCTGCAGAGTCTGCTGCTTGGAAAAAAGATTTTGCACTTTTGTTTTAACCATTTATCTAGCAATGTAAGTAACAGAGCCAGAGGACTTTTTAAAACATTTCTTGCATGTTCTCAGCAATTAAATTACAGTTTATTGGAAAGTGACAACCGAACATGCAGAAAGTGGAACGTACAATTAGCATACTAATAATGCCTAGCATTGAAAATAACAAACCTTATATTTTAGATTTAGTGGAATGATTCATGTTATGAAGACTTGGAAGACCAGATTATTTCAGTTATGAAGATTTGGAACACCAGATTATTTCAGTAGCAAATAACAAATTTCAGCTGGTACTTTGGCAAATGAGTGAGTAGCTAAAGAGTCAAAAAGAAATGAAATACTCGAGTACAGCATGGACTTCTAAACTGAACAATATACAGTGATTTTCAGACTGAATATTTCCTTTATTTGTTAGTAACCATTCTTTACTTTATAGCTAGAATCCTATTAAAGTGACTCCAAACCAGTGACAGGGTAAAATAAGATACAAAATCTAAAGATACTTTTTTTTTGGCTTTATTTTCCTCCTTTTGAGTTGGCATTTTGCAGTTCTATCTCTCCTCAGTTCTAAGGGCAGGTAAGTATATTAACATCAATTTGATCAGATAAAGATGTGGAACTTGGATTTCTTACACTCTGAATGCTGGTCACCAAATTTCACAAATTTCACTGTCAGCTCTTGCTGTAGCCCAAATCTTGACAAGTGATGGTCCAGGGGACATAGATGGTTTCCATGAGAAAATAAAGATAGGAAGGCAAAAGAAAATGAAGACAGCAAGACAGGGAAGCAGATGTAAAGGACAATTGTTTCATGTGTGTTGGGTGGATAAGAGCTAAAGTGAAGAGTTACTATGGTTACCTAAGGACTCCCTCCATTTTCCTTTTCATAGTGTTCAATTTTCCCTTTCACCAAAATTGCCAAGATTTCTTCCTTTTATACACCGACACATACCCACACTCACCCCCCACCCCACCCCCATTGTAAAGTTACTGTACAGAGGGGTTATAGTTACATGAGTAAGGTAATGAGTACATTTCCTATTGAGCATTGTTTTCCCCTCCTTTGTTTCCTCTACCATTCCTTCCTGCCCTCTCCACTTCCTCAACTCCTTCCTCCCTCCTCTTCCTGCCCAAGTTGTGAAGTTGGTTTTCAACCTAGTGTCTTGTACATCTCATTGTTACAATGAGATGTAATGTTTCAGCATTTCCTTATTTCCCTTCCCTTCCCCAAATTAGAAAAATGTAGTTACAACATGCAGACCACCGGAATCAAATATAATGTAAAAAGGGATTATAGCATGGGGAAGAATATACAAAAGAAACAAAAAATCACATGCTATATTAAAAACAACAGCAACAAAGATAAAACCTCTGTGTCCCTAACTTGGGGTTCATTTCACTTAGCATCAACTTATATGGTCATATGTACATAGCTTTTGACCTTTTCTGCTTGTCTGATATATTTATCCTAGATATATATTAGTTATTGCAAATAAGGGAAACCATGGGAAACTATATTTCTTTGGGTCTGGCTTACTCCACTTAATATAATTTTTTTCCAAGTCTTTCCATTTCCTAACAAATAGGGCGATGCCATTCTTTCTGATGGATATATATATATATACACACACACATATATATACACACATATATATATACATCTTGATCCATTCATCTGGGTTGGTTCCATAGCTTAGCTATGGTAATTAATGCTATGATAAACATAGTTGTGCTGGTAGCTTTAGTATGGCCTTGTTTGTGATTATTTGGGTAAATGAACAAAAGTGGGATTGCTAGATCATAGAGGAGCTCTATGGGGTCTTTTGAGGAACCTCCATACTACTTTCCTAAGTGGTTGAACAAGTTTACACTCCCACCAACAATGCAGTAGGGTTCCCTATTGGCCACATCCCCTTCAGCATCTGTTGTTACTAGATTTCTTGATTATAACCATTCTAACAGGGGTGAGGTGGTGTCTCAATGTTGTTTTGATTTGCATTTCTTTTATGGCTAGAGAAGTTGAGCATTTCTTCATGTGTCTATTGGCTATTCTTGTTTCCTCTTCAGAGATGTCTCTCTTTAAGTCTTTAGCCCACTTATTAATCAGGTGGTTGTTTCTTCAAGTATTTGTTGTTGGGGATTTAATTTTTTGAGTTCTAAGTACATTTTAGATATGAGACCCTTGTCTGTTGTATGGCTAGTGAAGATCTCCCAGTCGGCGGGCTTTCTATAGATCTTGCTAGCTATGTCCTTTGCTATGCAGAAGCTCTGTAGTTTCATGCAATCCCATTTGTCGAACCTTTCTTTGATTTGCTGTGTTTCTGGGTCATCTCTATTCACTAAATAATGGAGCACACAACTTTATCCAAGAAGCATTGCTTTCCTTAAAATCTCACAAAGATCCAAAGACATTAATTGTTGGGGACTTTAACACACCACTATCCCTACTGGATAGTAAAACTCAACAGAGATACCTTGGATCTAAACAACTTTATAGATCAACTAGTCTTAATAGATATTTTCTTCCTCTTAAAAATAATTTAAAAAATAATCAATGACAGATTCAGTCTACCTGGGGTTGAAACACTTGTTATTTATCACAATAAACCTATCAGCAAAAATACTAAACTCTTTCTAAACTTACAGTCAACACTTGGTTCATTTTCCTTTAGTTCACCATTTTAGTTAAGGCCAGGATAAGGTAGAGGTAACAAATAACACTTGACCTTTGTTAAAATAGGATGTTTTATGGGTCCTGTCACTAAGATAATATCTAACATTTAGAAATAGATTTACTCATCTAGGGAGAATCACATGAAAGGTTAAAACAATAGACAGTAGCTTGGAACCACAAAATACCATGTGAAATGCTTGATGAAAATGGTTTAATAGTTCATATTATTTCATTTTAAATTGAGACACCCTCATATTAGCCCATTTTGTGTTTAATCTCAGTGGCCAGTCAGTTTTAGCTGTGTTAGTTGACATCATCATATCAACTCTGCTCAGTCCCTCACTTTAGAAGAACAAATAGCCTTCTGGAAGTGAAAGAGAGAGAGAGACAGACAGAGAGACAAAGACAGAAAGAGACAGAGAGATAGAGAGACAGAAAGACAAAGACAGACAGAAAGCGACAGAAAGAGACAGAGATAGATACTTAAGAATAAGCATTGTGAACGCTTTCCCAGGATTCCAACTCTGAGGCCCATTCACCCTCAGGTAGAAAAGACTTCAAACAAAACATGTGGTGGGTGTATATGTGGAGCATATGGGGAGCATGGAGGGCAAGTATATGTAGGGGATATGGGGAGTCACGGGGATGGGGCTAAATGCCAGTAGACATCATCCTGGATGTGTTTGTTACCAAGTGTTTTCCAGTAATAGATGCTTTCTAATTTGTGGATGATTTCTGATTATAATTATTATTTCCGACTCATTTATATATGGTTACCTGCTCATCAATGGCAGAAATGACTCCTAGCTATCAAGGGCTCTTTGACACACAGGATGTGATTATTTAGAGGAAATTATTGTGACAATAATACTTTGTAAGAAGAAAGATTTCCTTCCTCCCCCCCCCCCCCCCCCCACCCCAGGATTAGTTACGTTTGTTTGCAACTGTTCTGGTCCACTTCCAACACTGAGTAAATAGTGACCTCATTCATCTTGGCCAGGGTTCTATATTGCTGGTCATTCAGTATACTCCCCACAAATAGCCCAAACTATGTTCTAAAAAGGAAACAGGAGAATCAGAGTTCAAGGGCAAAAAGTGAGACTCTGTTTTAAAAATAGGTACCATAAAGCCTCCCTATGTTTCATACTTGTAATCCTAGGTACTCAGGTGATTGACAAGAGAATCACAATTCAAATCCAGCCCAGGCATAAACGTTTACAAGACTCCATTTGTTTTAGCTGAGCAAGTAAGCTAAGTATGAAGACCCTATATCCAAACTCTAGTAATAAAATAAACAAAGAATCAAAAAGATAAGAAGAGCATTAAAAAGAGCTGGCAGCATGGCTCAGAGGTAGCTACTTAGCATAAGGGCCTGAATTCAAACTCCAACACTACCAAAACAACAACAACAAGTATAAAAAAATACTGATACATACACAACTAATGAAAAATATTTTGTGAAACAATTACTTTTTCAGAAGAAATAAAAATGTATTGGTCTAAAGCTATGAACTCAAATTTAGTTGTTTATCCTTTTCACTTAACTCTGATTTTACCACTTGCATGTCCCTTCCATAAC